AGGACTAAGGAGAAATGAGGGTTCTGACGGCACCACGAACGCATTCTGGGCAAATGCTCACATGTACAATGAGATATGGGACACCGTGTGGAATTTCACAAGGCTTTTGCAGTGGTGGCAGAAAACTCAGGTCGACCCACTGGCTCGGAGGACAAGACGTGCTTTAGAAAACAGTTTGACACCGCCACCGGTTTTCGATTGCCAGAGCAGCAGTTCTCTAAAGACTCTTGCAAGCCCTGCACAGGACATTGTATCGATGGAAACAGTAAAGGCGGAGATAATCATTGAGATGCTCTTAACAAAGTTATTAAAGAACCGCGAAGGGTGCATCAGTAAAAGTGAAATCCTGGTCCTCAAACAGGGCCTCGTTGAAAAAATTGTGGAAAGAGTCAACCTGCACTTTGATTGCACACAAAAAAACTTCAATAACCTCAACAAGACTATTCTCAAGAAGCTGTCTAAGATGATTGGCAATGAAGAAATGGTGCTGCTCTCCTTGAAAAAAGGGGAAATCAAAGTAAAAAACTACACCATCTCTGCCATCAAAGATTACATAACGCCAACAGAGAGAATAAGCTTCAAGCGCCGGTTAGTCGGCGGCATACGCTCAACCATGGACATCCTTAAAATGAAAGACGAAATAGAAATGGACGAAGACCTCAGAGGCGACCCCCTGCGCCAGCTAGTCAACCTGATGGGGTTGATGTTTAAGGAACATTGAAACAACCTCCCACCACCTAAAAGGAGGTGGAGTCAACAATCAAACAAGAACAAAACTGGCTCTTAGAGTTGTATTGACACGCTTTCTCCCCAAAAGCGTGAGAATACCACGTTCCACAACGTAGCCATTACACGTTGTGCTTTTTATGGCGATTGGCAAACAGCTTTCGGGTGCATTACCGCCACCCACTGATCTGGAGTGATATCCTCCCCCCCCCCTCCTCCCTCATACCTCCCCCCCCCCTTGTCTAAATCAAGACAAGACAGCGAACCCCCAACTAAGCCCATGAAAAGAACTTTTGATTATCATAGCCCCTTTCTCAGGACTTCTCTCTGCCTCGTACCTGACATGCCATCAAAACATGGTCCACAGTTTCCTCTTGACAGTATTCGCACCTTCCATGTCGAAGTTTCCCAACCGCAAGGACGAGTTACACTCTGCTGTGATAAACCTAAAACACTTTTAGCACTTCTACTTCCCTATTGTTACGTTCCAGCTCCCAAAAGGGAGGGGAACATGACAACCCACTGCTCCGGCCCACCAGTGCCGGCAAAAGGGGTACGGAGTGAGCGAGAAAAGGACAAACACCAAATACAGTACAACGCTTTTATCTAACAAAATAAATACACATAAATAAACAATAACTTTCTGGGAAAAGGGGAGGGCTGGCCGGACCAAAACAAAGAAATAAACAAAAAGGTCCCCACCCCTAACCTGTACTAACCCCCAATTGAAAACATAATCTCTACCTGGCACACGGTCAAGGCGCCCTAACCAAACTTAGGTTAGGTGGTGGTGGTGATAGATTTTTGTGTGTAATGTATGTTAAGTGTGTTTAGTGTTTTGCAAATCTACCATGAAGTACACATGCAGTAGGAAGCACTTGCTGGTATTTAAAATTATATTGCTTACAAATAACTTATATTATCCATCCATTGTCAAACCACTTATCCTGCACACAGGGTCGCGGGGGGCTGGAGTCCATCCCAGCCAACTTCGGGCGATAGACAGGGTACATCCTGGATTGGTCGCCAGCCAATCGCAGGGCAACACAGAGACACACAACCATTCACACTCACATTCACACATCTACGGGCAATTTAAAGTCCCCAATCAACCTGATCCCCAGAGCATGTCTTTGGACTGTGGGAGGAAGCCGGAGAACCCGGAGAGAACCCACGCAGATACGGGGAGAACATGCAGACTCCACACAGAAAGGCCACTGGGCGGAATCGAACCCAGGACCTTCTTGCTGTGAGGCAACAGTGCTAACCACCACGCCGCCGTGCCGCCCAACTTATATTATATATATTAAAAAATATATATATATATTATAAATATATCTTCTATTAATTATTCTGCTGTTATGATCACAAACATACATGCACAAAGGTGCAGAAAGACATAGATAAGTGTTTGTTCTACTTACAGAGAATGTACAGAGAATTGAAATACACAAACAAGGACACAATTCAAACCTGAAAAACAATAGCTTTATTCATATAGGAATACATGTATTTATTAGATTTATTGGTTCAACTTTTCATAATCAGAGACTGGGCCAAAATATACTGGTAGGCTGTTCGATACATTTGCACTACAAGTTTTCAACAGCAGAGGTCATCATAGAGTTTGCGATGCATTGAATGAATGAACCTTTTTCCGATACAATTGGCTGGAAAGCTTCACTGGTTCAGAAAGCTTCACTTTGCCATCACAACTGTCAGGGATGCGAGGAAGGCAGGACTCACACGCAGAGTTTACGAAACACAAAAGGACTTTAATAGTCAAAAACTCCCAAAAGGGCAAAAAGGCAAAAACACAGGCAGGAACCAAGAACCGGCAGGACATTCGACAATGACAAGAGACACACACGGCTTAAATACACTAGGGAGGTGCAGGTGATTGCACACAGGTGGAAACAATCAGACAATCACAGGGGATGACAGGACAAGGCAGGAAGTGAAGTTACCCAGGCAGACAAGAGGCAGAAAACTACAAAATAAGACAGGAAATAAACCACACTGTGACACATACACGCGTTAGCACCAACAAAGTGGTTTAAACCGGTTGTTAACACCTCATTATGGAGTAAAATACACACGTTAGCGCCAACAAACAGTTTGTTACTGTTTGTCTTCAGAGCTCACAGCGCGGCGCACGCAAGCACACAAGGAGGTGTGAAAAGGCCAACGTGATCTCCAAAACCTAAAACCTAAAAATGTATATAGATATTCGTCACAATACATACTAACTGGCGGTGGTTAACCATGCCCCTTGAGTGAACGTCTCTCCTCCATGTTGGATGTTTTGAGGGGGTTAGGGTTAGCATTGTACTCTTACAATTTAGTTAATTCAGTTCCCCATTCACTTTGAATAGGGTGACATCATCGGTTGCCAGTCTGTATTTATTTAGTATGTATCACTACGAATTTGTATCTTCAAGATTTTCGTATACATTTTTACGAATAGCTTTTGGGGATCAGGCTGGAAAAGGCGTGCAAGGGACATGCGAGGGACACGCAAGGGGCTTGCGTCTGCGTGTCCTTGCGTCTCTCTGAAAACGCAGAAGCATAAACTAGGCTTCAGTCGACGTTAGCTTGTTGCGAACACGAACACCGCAGAATATATTGCTAACACGTTACCACGTCCTTAACAATAGCTCACCGTTCACATCTGCAGCAGGGCTGTAGTGGAGGGTAAACGCACGTAAACGGCGTTTACGTGCATCTAGAATTTTGGAAATAGCGTTTACGCACCTATAAATAGCGTTTATGCACCTCTAAGTGGCGTTTACGCACCTCAAAGTTCCCTGCGCCTTGTATTCTTCCATTGGAATAATCCGAAATAAACTTGGTGTAATTTTAAAACAGCTAAGACTACGTTTCCTTTTGTTGAACATATAAACGCCGTAGTCGGAATCATGTTCATCTGCGCTGTATTACGGTCTGTGAGCATCCAATCAGTGCCTTGCGGCTGCAGCAGCGACCAATCAGGATCCAGGAGGTGTGTAAACATACACGCTGTGGATCAGCCCAGTGGTCCCCAACCTTTCTTACCACACGGACCGGTTTCATGTCAGACAATATTTCGCGGACCGGTCGAGAAGGTCCGACGGAAAACGCCTGGTGACGCGTAGATTAGACGAGAAGTCAGTTATCAATGTGAAAAAAACATGCTGTATGGGCTATTTAGGATGACGTGGGTAGTACATGAGTGTTCCTTGAACTTATGTTGTCAGTGTAATTGACAGGCTGCTTAACTGGTTAACTCTTAAATTCAACATATTTTTTCAGGCAGTGAGAGGACAGGCAATGATGCAGAGAGCACAGGGAGAGAAACACCAGGTCCAATAGAGAGGAGAAGCACAGAGGAACGTGTTCTGGGGTTCATGGCTCCTCTGTGCAAGGCAGGACCTGACGTGGAGGACAAGGAGGCCCTCTGGGCACTACTGTGAAAAGGAGACTCCGTATGTAGATAGTTCTTAATCTGCAATTGTGTTGTTATGTTGTGTTGACATACTTTTCTTTACTGTTTTCTTAGATTTAATAAACTACAAACTACTAACACATGTATTCATTGTCATTGATTGTATATGACTTTTACTGATAACTCAATGCAATATAGCCAGGACAGCCTTACAGAGTCGCGACGCTTTGTGTTGCGTTGCTTCGCATCGCGTCGAGGTCTGTATGATCACAAAATTCAACAGAGTTTACCCACCTCTAATTTTACCACTACAGCACTGATCTGCAGGTTATCTGGCAGGTTGCAAAAAGGAGACATCTTAACGTTATCTAACGCTAAGCATAGCTAGCCATGCACATGGGGACTGTCGGCTTTTTAAATTTGGTCAAAAATAACACTAAATAACAAATAGCCTCAACAGAACAACCAGCAAAGATATGAAGACAATAATGCACATATAATTGTTTTACATTTAGACGGATGGAAATGTATTTCTCCTTACCTTTTACATGTGCTTTCTTAATCTGGTTGTGACAGACGGCCTTGGCCTTGCTTTTCCCGGTCATGTCAGATACTCGATTGTCTCAGTTTATCATGAATGGATCTAATAAATGTTATGTTTTTGAAGTTCATGCAAATCCTACATGACTGAATTACGTTCACGTTGGAAACATGAATTAAAATCGTTCGAAATACACGTTGCACTAAAGTAAGTGTGACAACCAGCCAATATCATTCATATGAGTGAAGAAGCGCCGATACTTAAAGGTCACACACTTGGTTGCAGCGTTTCTATTTAAAAAGCAGTCATTGGTACAAGTCAGCTGCTGGCGCAGAGCCTCCGCCACGCAGACCGAGGTGGTCCGATCATCTCACCGGATGGGTGGTGTCTCGTTAAGGCGTCGCAGTGTTTTCTTCTGTCTTGCTTTCGGTTTGCCTGTGGAGACGGGGAAGTGGGGCGGGTGCCCAGTTGCCTCCGCATCCGCTTCCAGTGCAGCTGTACGCGGCGCGCACGCCGCGCTCTGCCACTGGCTGACTGCTCTCTCAGTGGAACGGTTCAGGTTAAACACCTCGAGACATGGCTGCAAACGTCACGCCCGGAGCTTGCGAGGGCATCAACATCAACTTTACGCACGCCTTTCTGCCGCCCGTCTTCGTCACCGTGTTCGTCGTCGGGACGCTGTCCAACATCTGGGGGCTGCGCAGCGTGTACAACAGCTGGAGCAAAATCGGGAGCATCAACGTCTTCATGTTCAACCTCGGCGTGGCGGACCTTCTGTACCTGTCCACCTTGCCCTTCCTCATGCACTACTACGCGCGCAGCAGCCGCTGGACGTTCGGCCAGACGTTCTGCAAGGTGACGCGCTTCTGCTTCAACCTCAACCTGTACGGCAGCATCGGCTTCCTCACCTGCATCAGCGTGTACAGGTACCTGGGCATCGTGCACCCCATGTGGGTGATGGGCAAGATCACCAGCCGCCACTCGCTGGCCGTCAGCGCGCTGGTCTGGCTGCTCGTCTTCATCCAGATCCTGCCCGACATGTTCTTCGACAAGAACAGCCCGGGGTCACCGGACTCGTGTTACGACACCACGTCGGACGAGCTGATCCGCGTCTACCTGCCGTACAGCGTCGGCTGGGCCGTCACGGGCTTCGCCGTGCCGCTGGTCGTCATCCTGGTCTGCTACGGTCACGTGGTCGTGGTCCTCGCCACGAAGGCCAACGTGAACCCCTTGCTGAAGCAGAGGTGCCTGAGGCTGGTGGCGATCCTGCTGATCCTCTTCTCCGTGTGCTTCGTGCCGTACCACGTGTTTCGGAACCTCAACCTGAAGACCAGGATCATGAAACGGAGCGGCGTCTGCGACGCGAGCTTCGACGACATCTACGTCGCGCACCAGGTGGGCAGGTGCCTGGCGTGCCTGAACAGCGCCTTGAACCCGCTGATTTACATCGTGGGCAACGACGAGTTCCTCGCGAGGCTCCATCACATCCGCAGGCGGGCCCGGCTGTCCCTGGCCGGCCTGACGGGTGCCGTCCTGTACCGCAGGCCGATGGAGGCGGACCCGGACTCGCCATGCGGGACTCCCGGTAATAACTCGGAGCTAATGAACGCACGGGACGCGCACTCGGGTTCGCTGTTGTCCGCTGCGTGACGGCTGTTGCGCAGCCGGTGCTGGTGTTTCTCGCGTGGTTTTAACGCTCGTGCGTTCATGTGTTCATGTGTTGCACCTTGTTGCTGAATGTGATCGCTTTGCGCAGTGGAAGTCCAGTTTACGCAATGTGCTCCAAGCGCTCAGGACACGTTTCACTGTTACACGTGAGGCTGTTCCCGTGGATTATGTCACAAAGAAGGTTTGCAACTGTTCCCTCGGCTCTTTTATTAGACAACAAACACAAAGTAAATAAGGAACTGCAACGCGGACGCGCAGGCCTCATAGATTTACATCTTTCTTTCCACTCTGCTGCACACAGAACAGTGAAAGTACATTGACACACTGTAAAATAAGCAAAATCATTGTATTACCGGTGTTTACTTCCACAAAGCAGTATTATTAACACAATGTAATGAATAAAGTACTTGTTGTGCAGAATGCCACCCGTCAGAATGATTTGTTACAACAAGTGTCATTGTCATTCATGACACGACGACACTGTGTTCACATCCTGTAACGGAAGGCGTTGTCCTGCTGGTTCATATAGTGTGTTAAAGTTGATGTACGATATCCTATTTATATATTGATTAAATCAATATAACCTTTTGCAACGTATTGACTTTTTCAAGCTGACTGTACGAATGTTATTACCAAACTGTTAATACATTCTTTGGCCTTCAAAAGTGATGACACGCTACCAAGCGCTGATGCTCGGGTCGCCATAACAACGCGACGGGTCGCAACAGCTCCTCCTGCTCGCCGTTTGAAACAAATGAGTGTTGCTACCATACAGACTTTGAGGAATTCAAAAGTCTACTGAAGTAAAGTGATGGAGTGAATGGACACCTCCGGTTTGGAAACTGAACATGGAAAGCAAACACAAATCAACTCAGTTATTGAAGACATAAGGAGCGAAGTAACATCTTCTCTGCCAAAGGAGCCATATTCTGAATGCTTATAGCGCTCAGTGATTTGCAACCGAACAGCAGGGCTATTCTCTCACACGCAGCTGATAAGGGAGAAATAATGGTGCTATCTCAAAGTGCACACGTGTGTTTTTGTTTCCTCAAATAAGCACGTCTTGACTGAGGGCGTCTGCAGAGTGGAATTCTTTTTCTTTCTCGCTCATGCGTGAGTTATTTATTGCGGCAAACCTCTCACACGGCTGAGAGTCTCTGCTCGGTGCGAGGCCTGTTACAACGCGTTACTAAATGTTGGACCAAGTCCACATTCCGAAACACTGACTTCTTTATTTTCAATTTAAAGTACATTTAAAAAAAGAATGTAGCTCGGGGACACAGGCGGCCTCCTTTATGAACCAGGCACATAACAGATCGGCGTTTGAGAATAACAGAAACATGTTACACTCTTGAGTATTGCATTGGTTATTGTGCAACTGAATGAAAAGTGGAATACGGTCAGTAACAGTAAAAGGAAATGGTCAAATCTCCACGCGGGTATGGAGACGTTTCACAACACCTTCAGCTGCGTCATACACGGCCTCACAGGAAAGGGAGCAATCCAGTCACCTCTCTGCGACTGCATTTAACAAGAATGGACCCGTAATCGAGGGTGATTTGTAAGTGCGTCATTAGGGAAGCAGAGCGGGAACCCTTCCAGCAATTCCAAGCACCAGGTCCGGGAAGGCCGCGGAGCCGGAGGGACCAAGTGAGCTGGCCAATATGCGGCTTCCTGGTTTGTTGGGGGGTTAACGGCCGTGGCTCGCGAATCTGACCAGGCTCGTGTTGTAAACAGGAAAATATATCACTCCTGGTCCAACATTCCGTCCGGCCCATTAAAGTGTGCACAGAAAGGCGAAACGGGTTTTGTTATTGGACCAGAGGCGCAGAGAAAATAATTCACAAGCCGGCCAACATTTCTTCTGTATAAATACGCTGTGCACAAACCGGTTTCTCGCCAAAAGCAAAATTGTATAGTCCTTCACGTTTCCTTAAGGCAAAATCAGTCTCCTGCAGATTTATTTAACTTCATCTTTCTGAACCAGAACCCCTGAATATATTCCCATCTTGTTCAGTTTGTCTCAAAGGCTTGAATGAGCGCTTGCTCAACCCGAGTGCCTTCTTCTTCTGCAGCAGGACTCCTGACACAAACCTGCTTTGTCTCCACAGATGAACGCCATCGTGCTCATTCATTCCTCCCACTTGTTTTGTGATCCTGTAACTGCAGTCGGGTGAGAAAAACACAGAGCCGCATGATGAATCTGCACAAGCACTTAGAGGAAAGCTCAGCTACACCCGGAGAACAAGGGTTGGAAGATCAGCGACGCCGCCTTCCTCACGTCGTCCCGCTGCAGCGCCGCTTCCATTCGTTTACGTAAAGAGTAAATGAAAGTATAGTTGTTATTTCGACTTGTGCCAACATGTACATCTGCGTCAATCCCCATAAACAGTTGTTCCTGAACCTCAGATCTTAACTATTACAACATGAAAACGCGTGTTCCCTAAGCTTAAAAAAATAACAATTTCCACCAGAACCAGAATCTTCTTCTAAACAGAGACGTTCAAAACTAAAAGCAGACGGTAATTGTTGACATCCGAATGACGTAGGAATCTGAACACGGGGAAACATAAGATGAGTATTCCTTTGTGGGTGTTTAAATATTACAGGTGCTATTCTTTGGATTGTTTGCTGTACTTATTCAATCTCTCCAGACCAGACGTGGTGCTTGTTGGGGAAGTGGAAAGCGTTTATTGTCGCTGTCCAGCTGGAACGAAGCGTCCTTTACAATCAGAGGTACAATGCGGGTTTGTGTCTTTGAGGAGTGCAGACTTGTTTTTAGTTTTTTGGGGGCTTTCTCTTCCCTGCTGACACCTGCTATCGGCATTATTATTGGTCACATTACTGTTACTGTCATCATAAACCAACATTACCAACTTTGCTTCTTTCCCTCCTCACGAGTGTTGGTTGCATTTTGCTAAAATTGTCAAATGATTTCCACCACTTTCTCACGTACCATTCTCAAGGTGAACTTAGCCCCAAACCATTTACCTCAGCACACTACCTGCGTGTCTCTCTTAAAACTAGATCAGCATTTCACTGAATGGACGTCTCAGCCTGCAGCTGCTGAACCAACACAGTCAACTGTTTTTGGATAAAATAAGTTCTGTCGTGTTGGTGAGACGTCAACATGTAAAGCGCCTGGTGATACACACACTGAATGAATACATCTTGGAACGACAAGGATGACAAATATAACAATACATATATTGTTGTATTTTGTTTGTCACTGAGGAGACGAGGCCGTCCTCATCTATAAATCAAGCCTAGTTTAATGAGCTAATGTGCTCCATCTGGCCGGTGAGAGAATCGAGTTAACGTCGCTGTCTCCCGCCCGTAATGACATTGAGATTCTTGTTGAACTCCCATTTGCACCCACAGAAGAGATATGAAACCTGAAATCAAAAAATGTATATGAAATCACCTTTTTATTAGACTGTTGTGTCAATCATATGTGTCCTACCTTGTTTTTACATATCAGGATTCACAGCGAAACTGAAATTGAGTGAAACGAACTTTGCACTATTGCAGACGTATAAGATTATTCCGATCAGCTAAGTTTACTTTCCAACAATAAGATCATGAGATCACAGATTATTATTGTCTGTGTCCCAGCTGCTAAACCACTGGATCACAGGGACCTGTCAAACCACCTGTCAACCACAGCCCTGTGAACTGAGCAAAAACAGGGGAAAACATCAGCAAAATCTAATAGGAATCACAATCTTCCTAAAAAATGTCACTGGGAAAATTCCGGAGTCTGTGAAAGAAACAACATGCTCTGAATTTTAAAAATTGTATTTGCATATAAGCAGCTCTGAATGTTCTTGCATTCCAGGGGACATCTACACGGTGGTGAAAGATATGACTGAAGCCTGATGATAGATGATTCATCCAGATTAAACTGCACTTCAGGTATTGTGTTATATTCAACTGAATGTGCCTTTGAATCATGTGAAGTGAAAGCATCACAACACAGCCCACTAGAGAATGTATTTTCAACATATATCTGTTTAACATCATGAGGGATTTTCCCCTCACAGTCAACCTGAGTCCTTTCTCAGCATCTGTCCACCAGAGACCGACCACCGGGCTTTTACATGGACATGAAGTATGAAACCGCAGCCTCATTCTGCCCAAAATACTCCAAATCATCGGCTGGTAAGATAACAACGGCTCGCTGGGCGGGACAGAACCACTGAGCTGCCTGTTTCTCACCACAATGAGACGGTTCTCATGCTGCGTTTGTCGCTCACTCACAGAACCCGCAGAACCACGCAGATCTGCCGAAGCCGAGTCGCGCTCAGCCTGACAGGAACACGGTTCACTTACACTGTGTTTGGTCTATTATTCCTCCAATTTAAAGTTTAAAGGGGGAATTAAAAAAAAAATCTAGTGCTGTGTAGGTAAAGGTGTTGTCTTGGGCAGACGCGTCATCACGCATCTTAACCTATGAGAGAATTTGGAGGCGGGTCCAGGACGGGTCTTTGAGCTCACATGAGCCCAAACAGAGAAGAACAGGCCGAGAAAGAGAGAAAGGCGGCAAAATCCCACGCGCACACAAAACATTGTGCAATTAATCGCCATTAAAAATTGTAATCGTAAGCGCATTCCAGAAGAAATTCAGATATTGTGCAACGCTAGTAATTCCATCATAGAAAAATAACGTCTTATTTCGTAATCCCAACCATCAAGCGAACAAGCCAACTTCCTCTGGTGTTCTTTGGGAATAAGGCTGCGGGTCTAACAAACAAAAGGAAAGGAAACCAAGGAAAGGCCAGATTGGAATCGTTTGTGGAACAGCAAAGGCTGAGCCTGCCGTGAAACGCCTCCATCTGCTGACAGAAGTCCAGAACTGAGGCAGAGGGACAGTTTGATAGTGCTGTTGGTGTGTTTGCTAATACGCTGGCTAAACATGTCTGGAAAGAGCTAGAAACAGTCCTTTCCCTCAGCTCCATCATATCATACACAGTGTAAAAGCAGAAACATGATGGAATTGATAAGATGATTATTGTTATTATTTTATTATTATTAATTTAATGTCAAATATTACGAACGAATACACGTTTAAATGAAAGTTCATGTTATTTGTGTTACGATTAGTTAAGCGGGTCCAACCACGTGGCGCGCGCCCGATGACGTCAGCAGCCGTACGCCCTCCCGCTCGTTAGACGGCGTGCTCGCGCTCCACTGCTCTGCGCGTCCCCGTCGCGTCCCCGTCGCGTCCCCCGGCTCGTGGTCGCATCCTGGACGGATCCGACACGCGCGCTGTCCGCTCCCGCGCGGTACTGAACCTGGAGAGACATGGGAGCCGTTCTGGGAGCCCTTTCCCTCGCGAGCTGGGTGAGCTGTGACGGTGCCGGTGATATATTCACATGACATGTTTATTATTGTTATTATTATTATTATTATTGGGACGAGAGAACGTTACATTCAGAGGGACGTTCTGCGTAAATGGTCTTCTGTAATTCGTCGAAGGGGACGTTGTGGTCGGTTGGTGTCCCCGGTGAAGACGAAACGTGCTGCGGACACAACGGGGACACAACCCGGGCCAACGGGGACACACGTATAGTCTGTTTACACGCCGTTAATGGGATTAAGCGCGTTGTGTTGTCGCACGCTGCGTGTCCTTTCAGGCTGTTTGTTCATCTAACAACGCGACATAAAATAACGAGGACACAGCAGCAGACTGGAAAGTGTAATAAATGGAACGTTAAATAGTAATTACCAAAGAAAGGTTCCAAAAAGAAAAGGCCGCGGTGCTTCAGGGTTCATGCAAAAACAATGGAAACGTCACAACTTTACAGTAACGGGATACTCCCGGGTTTAGTTTCATGGGTATTTTAAAACAGAAAGAATAAAACGCTTTCTCTCCGCAGCTGTGATCAGGAAATATTTGGGGCTTTACTTGATGAGTAGATACAAGTGAATATAGATCCTTCTCAGTGGAGGACTTTCACGTTTGAGAAGTTCAGGCAAAAGCGAACGGCGCTTCAAAATAAAAGCAATTTCTTCGGCCTGTTTGGTCATGTGCTGCCTGCGTGTTTTCTGGCACACAGCTCGTGCTAAGCTGACCTTGTCTGGCTGGCTGGGGTATTAACTTGTTGACGATCCTCCCAGGCCTCCTTTATCTCTTGATTGTGCTCATGTTGGTGTGTGGGAGACAATCGCAAGCTTGTTTTGTCTTTTCATCGAAGTGAAACATACTGAGGGAGAGATGCTGCTTTATTATTTTAAGGACGGGGAAGGAAGCCAGACTAAATAGCAGATAGGTGGAATCTCTGAGTTCAGACACGGACCGAGAGGTCACCAGACGGAGTCGCCTCGGCAGATGACTCTCAGGTGATGCTCTTTTCTCTCACGTTGGGTCGGATTGACCGTACTGACAAGCAGAGAGAAGACATTAGCCACGGCCTCCGGCCAATTAGCAAGAGGACATGGGAAGGTTTTTTTTTTTTTTAACGCTGCGATCTCTCACTGCTCCTCGCGTGCTTTCACGGGGCGATTGCATTGATTCATTGTAAAAATACAGGAACACTACCGTCAAAGGGCCCCACCGAAACTGAGCTTACAACTAAAAAAAAGACTACATTTCCTGTCCACAAGGTCGCTGTCGGAAGTTGAATGAGGATTTCTACCAGCTGCTCTCACAGGCAGATAACGAAGCGTGTGCTTTGGCTCCGTGGTGCCCCAGGTGCCGTGCCTGTGCAGCGGCGCGACGTGTCTGATGTGCAGCTGCTGCCCGAGCACCAGGAACTCCTCGGTGACCAGGATCATCTACGCCTCCATCTTGCTGCTGGGGACCATCGTCGCCTGCGTCATGCTGTCGCCCGGTGTGGACGAGCAGCTGAAAAGGGTACGAGCCGCGACTGCGGCGATACAGAAAATGCATCCGTAGAGCCGATGGCTTCATTCACAGTGTAATCCTATCAGTCATGCAGTGTACTCACATGCTCTGCACAGTGCTGCTTTCAGCTGAACTCGCTGGCATTTCTGCACAGCGATCTGTTGCCACGTCATGGCCGTGTACTGACTCTGTGCCGTAGGTCCCGGGCTTCTGCGAAGACGGGGCCGGGTCTTCTATCCCCGGCCTGCAGGCCGACGTCAACTGTCAAATGTTCGTGGGCTACAAGGCAGTGTACCGCATTTGCTTTGGCATGAGTGTGTGGTTCCTGGGCTTCGCCCTTCTCACGATTAACACCAAGAACAGCAGAGACCCCCGAGCCGCCATCCACAATGGGTGAGTACCGCGTTTACCGACACGCTGCCGTACTTACTAGCCAATATGTGGAAGGTACAGAGCAGGCCCACATAATATAAAATATATTCATAATGTTTTATTAGATTAATGTCTAGAGCTAATCATGAGCTTAGTTCCACGATACTTGTTGTGTGAGCAGATGAATCAGAGCACCTCTCCTCTTTCATCCCATCTGTCGATGCGTAACAGGAAGGAGGAGGTGTGAATTTCTCCGTTTCTAGTCCTAAATCTAATCAGACATATGTTGTAAGTCTTCCTTCGGGTCTGGGACTTCTTTGCCCGTCTCCGTGTCTTTTTAGCATAACCCGGTCAATGCATGAATATATATATCTGTGCTGCTCTCAAACGTCGAGAAGAAGCTTGCCACTGCCCGCCGTCGACTTCTTCTTCCTCGCAAGAAATAAATGGAAAACACAACTTTGATTCACGAGAGACTTTATGACTGATTCCTGATCGCATGAGAAACTCTTCCACCACTTACATCGATCACATTGACGATGTCCCCCGAGCGTCTCACTGGACCAGATGTGTTGTTACACAACATGTCGTTCAGCGGACGGCCTTTGTCCTGCACACACGCCTTAGATTCAAAGGTTAGACTGGTTTCTTAAGTCAGCAGCACACAATATTAGTTAACCACACGCACAACTCAAAATGAAAATCCCCAAAACTCCGTCCGCGTCGTCCTCTCCGGTAGAACTAAGTGATAGTTCGGTTGAAGAACAATGAAAGAAAGAAGAAATATAAAATGCTGTTGTAATGTGGAAAGTGTCGATGATTTATAGCTGTGTGTGTTTAATGACGCGCTACTCTTTCGTTTTGTTTTCAGATTTTGGTTCTTTAAGTTTGCTGCCTTGGTGGCCATTACAGTCGGTGCCTTTTACATTCCCGATGGGCCTTTTACATACAGTAAGACATTTATACTGGAGTTTTCTTTGCATCTCAGTGGCAGATGAATAACCGAATGAACCCTGTCTGTCGCCTCAGCGTGGTTCGTCGCGGGTTCCGCTGGAGCTTTCTGTTTCATTCTGATCCAGCTGGTGCTCCTGGTGGACTTTGCCCACTCCTGGAACGAGTCCTGGGTGGACCGGATGGAGACGGGCAGCTCCGGGGGTTGGTATGCAGGTCAGTGACTCCAGCTGCGGCACAAACACAACTGTGTACTTTGCAACGACAACAATTTATGATTTTCTCATGTGATGTTGACGGACATGACGCCAATGGAAAGCTGCTCCCATTGCGAAGAAACCTTTTGGTCTGCTGGGACTGAATACTTATAAAGTTTGTAGTTTTGGGATATTTTTGATCATTTACCTTTTCTACCTTTTTTGCCTTTCAGCTTTGCTGGCGGTCACAATTGTCAACTACATCCTGTCATTCACGGCTGTCGCGCTGTTCTTTGTGTTCTACACCAAGCCTGATGGATGCTCCATCAACAAGTTCTTCATCAGCTTCAACATGTTGTTCTGCATCACAGTCTCCGTTATCTCTGTGCTGCCTAAAGTGCAGGTGAGCACCTCGGTGTCAGGCGAGCGCAGCCGCTCAGCGTTCCAGGGAAACAGCAGGGAACGCTTTAGTGCACTGTGATGTTTTAAGAAGGTACACTGGGCGTTAGGGGAGTAGATTGCTTGCTTTGCTACAGAAGAGATTATTATACTCATATTTAAACATACAAGTTTGTGCTTGATGCTGAAGATCTCTTAAGATCAAGTCTATTGATTTCCCACAATTGTACCTGTTTGTCCACAGGACTCGCAGACCCGTTCAGGTCTTCTACAGTCCTCCGTCATCACCCTGTACACCATGTATCTGACCTGGTCTGCCATGACCAATGAGCCTGGTGAGGGTGAAACAATCATTCACCTTTTCTAGCTCCATGTTCACACATTAAACTTGTTTTTCTCTCCTGCATTCAGACCGAGAATGCAACCCAAGTCTACTGAGGATCTTCCAGCGAATTGCGGTCCCCACCCCTGCCCCCCTGGAGATAGAGAACCAGACAGCCGTGGTGATCATCGGCACCGAGGAACCAGTCCGGACATCCCCGTACCTGCAGTGGTGGGATGCTCAGAGCATCGTGGGGCTCGCAATATTTGTCCTGTGCATCCTCTACTCAAGGTGAGACTCTCTTTTAGAGTCCGAGTTGGAGGGGGTGGAGGGGTTGGTAGTAGTCAAGGGTAGTAGGGAGGCTAGATCGCCACGACTTAAAAAGTAAAAGTCAGGGAACCCCTACGAAAGAGCTTTTCGTCCACGGCAGCAGCAGCGCTCGCTGGTGAACCTGCATGTTTTCATCTGATTTGGACGTCATCTACAAAAAACAATCAATAAGAACATATTCTGTCTGATATAAAGATGATAACAAACTAAGTGTTATTATTAGAACTGTGACAGTGAGGCGCCATTGCACGAAAGTCCGTTTGGACACACACGGTATCCGCTCATGCCTCTGTTCTTCCTCAGCATTCGTTCGTCCAGCACCAGCCAGGTGAACAAGCTGACCATGGCCTCCAAAGACTCGACCATCCTGGCCGAGGGCGGCAGCAGCCCCGACCTCTCGGAGGAGTCCGCAGGACCCAGGCGGCTGGAGGACAATGAGCGCGACATGGTCCAGTACAGCTACTCCTTCTTCCACTTCATGCTCTTCCTGGCCTCACTTTACATTATGATGACCCTCACCAACTGGTACAGGTCAGTCCTCCCCTTTCCCCACACGGGCCCCTTTGAGCGGTCAGAAGACTAGAAAGCCCTTTACAGGTACAGTCCATTTAATTATCCAAACCTGTTGTGTTGTGTTGTCGCCAGCCCGGATGCAGACTACGCCGTCACCAGCAAGTGGCCGGCCGTGTGGGTGAAGATCACCTCCAGCTGGGTGTGCTTGGGCCTGTACACGTGGACCCTGGTGGCCCCCATGATCCTCACCGACCGAGACTTCAGCTGATCAACTCCGTCCGCCACCCACCAAAGACTCTGACCACGTTGCCTAAACCTCAAAATGAAATGACAGTTTTTACATGTAATCGGAGTTTAGTGTAATTATTTCAGGGTCTGGTGCCAAAGTGGCTGCTTCAAGTTCTGATAGTGAAAGCAACCTATTTGTGTGTGTACTACTAATACTACTATCAACTGTGAATCAACTAAGGTCAAAATACAATCTCCCAACAATCTAAACGCAGCAATTCATCATTAGTCAGATTTGACTAAATACAAATATATTGTTATAAATATAGGTGTATTACAGTAATAATGATAATGTAAACTGGTAAAACAATATAGTTTACTGCTATACTTTCCAATGACTTATAGTATGTACAACAATGTGTGAATAGAGTCATAGTTTTAGAAAGTACACAAGTCAAACCGTTGTTGGTAAAATTGGCACATTCCTGCGATATGTCTCCAAATGTTTCTGACCAATAATTATGGACTAACAATGTTTCACTGTAAAGGCGCGACGGTGGTTTGAGGTTGTAAATAGATCCTCACAGGAACAGACAATCCGAGAGGTTTCTGCTGAGTGACGCTGTTATTCTTTGTGCACGATAGCCTTAATGTTTATTATGTTTTCACTTGCAAAGAATGTCATCTTTTTTTAATCCTAAATGAAGTTTTGTTAGAAATGTCGGGGGAGGCTAATGAGAATATGTTTAAGAATATGAACGAAACCCGGCTTCTATGATACAGACGCTGACCAAATGCCTTGTAAGCCAAAGTGATCCACCGGAGTTAGTAAATGCTATTCACGCCTTGCTTTGAGATTCTCTGTGCAAAGTTTAACGCCAATAAATGAGCGAATACGTTTACCAATGAATCCTTGTTTCATGATAAAGAATAGAATCATCAAGTGGAAAACAAACACTGATGCCCCTCCACGCAGAGAATGCAGTGTTTCCATATATTCACACTGTACAAACTACAGCTTCACACCGACATGCAAATGACAAATATACTCCATGAACTGTTGCAAATGCTTAAATGCAGTCAAATGGGTGCTGAAGAGGCCCGAGGACACCGTCTCTCCATCTTTAGTCAACCTTTACTCTTCATTGGGGGCGCAGTGGCTCGCAGTCGATGAGCATCCCATCAGGACGACTCCCTGTCCAGAAGTCTCATTAAGCGGTTTCTGTGGGGATTTTTGGACGCGAATAAACAGGCTACCGAATTTGACCTAAAACAAACTCTCTCGAACACCTGCCACGTTACAGAGGACATTTTAAATAACGCAAAACACGTTTGGAATGTCCCCCATGCACCTCGGGACGTGGCGTCTCTTTCTCTCCATCGCTACCATACGTGTTTGATGCGGGGCACCTTTGTACCCCGGAGCCGGGACGAACCCGGGCAGGCGTAGACGGCCTCTCTCGTCCTCTCTGGACGTGCGCAGATGAATCTCACTCCACACGCCGGAGAGGCCGCCGTGGTGTGAGAAAGGCCCGAAGTGAGACACGCTGCAGACTGGCTCCCCGTCGCTCCTGGACCATGTTTTATTTTCTTACCTCTTAGCCGTCACAAGCTGCTTCCTGTCTTTGTTCAGTTTCCGCCACACCAGAGTTCAGTTAATCACCAGCCCCGCCTATAAAGCCACAACCGTTCACGCAGTCCGCCAAGTGACCCTGGTGTGCCAGCCTTTTATTGGAACAAATGTTGTTTCATGTTGACACAAATATTTGGGAAATAAATGTATAACTTGATTCATTCAGTGTCTTTCACATAAAAAAAAAAGAAATCTTTAAAGAACATGAGCCACATTGTGATTATCTGCATTTTATGTGCAGGATTCCAAGTAGAAAAGTTTGAGTTGCAATCTGGAGGTTTAAAAAGGCATATTTCTACATCAAAATATGAGCAATACAGGATGTGAGGAAGCTTATGTCTCACTAAAGAGCACTGAGACCGACTTTCTGCGTCAAACGTGTGTAGACGTCACAACAAACTGTCTGAAACTGTACCAACATCATTACAAAGACCATCTTTTTATTATTATGTCCTTAAGAAGAACTTTTCAAAATTTTCAAGGAGACTTGTCCCTGAATACAGCACTGATCATCATCATAATCATCATCATCATCATCCCACCATCGACCTCTTTCTCCCTCTCAACCGAACCTCATCCAGCTTCTTAAAGACGGCCGAGGACTTGCTGGAGGCGGCGGCGTAGCTCTTCAGCAGCCTCTGGAACAGAGCCTCTGTGCTCGGGTGGGTGCTCAGGAAGGCCTTCTCCAGCACGTACAGGTCCACCCCCTTATCCTCCGGCAGGGCGGAGATGTAGCTCAGGCCGAAGTCTATGAGGAACAGCTCGGACTCCCCGTCCTCCAGGCCGTGTCTCAGCAGCATGTTGGAGGTGGTCAGGTCCCCGTGGACGACGTCTTCGTCGTGCATTCTGGCCAGGATCTGTCCCACCCGCTCAGCCAGCCAGCCCAGGTCCTCGCTGGCGTCAGACCGCCGAGTGGAGGCGATGTAGTCGCGTACTGTCGAGGAACCCACAATTTCCTCCAGGAAGATACAGTGGGAAGCGTAGTCCACAAAGTAGACCACAGGGGCCGAGATTCCTGAGGACAGAAAGGTACGGGGACGTCATGAGGAGACGAGAAACCTGCATTTTCTGGTTCCAAATGATAAGGATGATATTATTCTAGATTGACAATTCTCATGGGAAGACAAAAAAAACACCCACGGGCCCAACGTGATGGATTTGGGTCCGGACTGGTCGGGACCGGGTCCGTTGGTAGAACTCACCCGCTCTGCGGCAGCGCAGAATGGAGCGGACCTCCTGGACCGTCCTGCGGTGGGTCAGCTTCTCGTCCAGCAGCGGGTGTCTGTAGCGCTTCGGGAACCTTTGTTTCAAGATAGTCGGCTTCCCCAGGAACTGTGCCCGGTACACGCGAGCTTCTGCTCCTTGTTTTATTAGCTCTGCTTGACTGAGGAACTCTTGCAGCGCCATGCTTGTTTCCTGTGACATGTTTACTGCTGCTGCTTTTCTTCTTCTACGGTCTGCTGCCCCGCTGCTTCCTCTGCTGCGCATCGACAGGCTGCCACCTCGCGGCCACTTAGTGAACCACACCAACTGCAGAGAGACACGCAGCGAAAAAGAAAGGTCTTATCGTTACCATGGCTACATATACGCATATACATGACTGTGCAGAAACGGTGCAGGGCGTGACACATTCCTATATAAACCGAGAGCCCTGCACCGCTCTCAGGTTATATATTCCACGGTGAGTGCACTTCAGCCGACGGATAGCCGGAACCTTGTGCAACTCCTGTCAAACTCACGGACCTCTTAAGAGCAACGGACTTCCGGCTGACCGTCTGTCGCTAAATAATTAAAGTTAGCACAGACTTTATGACAAGAATAGTCTATGGTAACTAAAGTATAAATAACGAGTTAAAGTATAAAGTATAAATAACGAGTTATTTATGAAGTGTGTGATTTATTGAATGTGGCAAACATCACTTTGTTATCGAATAGGAAGTGAAGGAAACTAACCAACCAGGGACACGGAACGTGTCATGCGCAGCAGCGCTTGTGATGGCAGTATGGCGCGCGTGAAGGTGAACGAGCGCACAAACGTCAGTAACCAGTAGTCGTCCCCTTCCGCCGGGTTTCACCAAAGAGCGACGGGACGTCCTCTCAGCCTACAGGTGAGAACCACGGTGACACAGCGGGGGACCTAAGGACGCTGAATGCTAACGCTAGCCTTAGCTAACAGTGTGTGTGTGTAAATATGTAACGTATACAACGTTAGCGTTAGCTAACTGTGTGTGTGGATATGTAACGTACGCATTCATATAACGTCAACGTTACATCATTCCATACACACGGCCATGTTTACATCCCGTGAGGTGTTCATGTCGTGGCTGCCATCGTTCGAGCAGCACAGTTGGTCGGTCAGTCGAACACAGGTTACCTTCCATATTGGTTCATCATCACGTGACCGAAGCAGGCTAATGCCAGTGCACGCCGAGTCTCCTCAGTGGTTATTCTGGTCAATCAAACCTGGTTCTAACATTCTAGAGTGTTTTTCGAATTAAAGGAGATGAGGTCTTTAAGAGAAATAACCGAAACCTCATCAGCTCAACATCATGTCTTGTTACTTAATGGCACCAATCTGAAGTTCGTCCCTCTGCCCAGCGGTCATGACCAGCCTGTCCAGCTACGCGGTGCGCATGGCCCGGCTGAGCGCACAGATCTTCGGTGGTGTGGTGCGTCCGACGGACTCCAGGTCCATGAAGGTGGTCCAGCTCTTCCAGGAGCCTCCCATGGCCAAGAAGAAGGAGGTGTTCGACTGGTACCCGCAGCACAAGGTTTACTACTCCATGACCCAGAAGCTCCGGTTCATGGGGCTGTTCAGGTACTGAAGTTGAGCGTGCTTCATCATTTGTGCCCTTAGTTCTGCTGGAAGGATTTTCAACGTGAAGCATCTATCCATCTTTATATTGAGCGTGAAAGCTGTAAAATACCCCACTTATAAAGTAAGGGAGAATGTCTGTTTGATCAAATGTTTGCTCCTCCTCCTCAGAGACGAGCATGAGGACTTCAAGGAGGAGATGCGCCGTCTGAGGAAACTGAGAGGAAAAGGGAAACCGAAGAAAGGAGAAGGAAAGAGAGCGGCCAAGAAGAAATGAGCTGCTTTCTTTTCTTCCCGAATGCAGGCTGACAGGATGGAACTGTGTACATTCTGTTTCATGCGATCCTCAAGGAGGGACAGGAAGGACTTGTTGCTACTTGATGGTCTACTGTGGCCAGACCCCCCCGACGAGGCAGAAACGAGAAGACGCAGAGTGTCACCACAGACCCGAAACAAAAACTAATAATCATCCCCACACGTAATGGACATAAGATTCAAAATGTCAATAAAGATGGTCTGGTACCTCTAGAGTGCCTGTTATTACTATCACCACTGATAGTACTGCTACTACTTTATATTGCTGTTACTAGCAGGAGTACTATAAGGTGTTACTGCTGCTTCATTTGTACCCTTAGTGTAGTCGGACTCTGCTGCTGATGTATTCTTGTTTGGGAATCTAAGCCATAAAACAGTTTCAAAGATGTAGCTACACCACTTGACCACTTAAGTCAAGCTTTAATTGTAAAAATGTTTTAATTAGATATTAAGTTGACTATGAACTTGGTAGTTTGCTATGTGTAATATGACCTTTGCCCTGATTACAACAAAATAAGGAAAATAATTGAGGGGTAACAGCAAAGCCGAGTTTAGATTGATGTTTTTTTATTTAAACAATTCAGTTAGCGGAGGAGGACTAAGACCATGGAAGCAGTAGGAGAAAAGCCTAAACATTCAGTATTGTATTGGATGGGACCACTCCATGTTGTATTAATGGCTAGATACTACGGAGGAAATACGTGACTTGCCAGAAAGCTCCGGTTTTGGCTTTTGGCAAATTGTCTTGCTTTTTTTGTGATTCGTCCTCGGTCCTCCTCAAAGTCCACTTGGGCTCAAACGAGCGAGGGACGGTGCGACCGGACACCGATGTTTCTCGACCGTGGAGTTCGCCTCTAATCTCTTGGTGTAACCTTCACCTTCAACATGCTTGTCTGCAAAGTTCTTTCTGGTCTCCTGAGACGGCTCGCTGAGAGCGCGGTGCCTGCTCTCAACCTACCGGCAGACTGACTCGTTACAACTTTGAAGACACCTGGGCTGCTAATTAGAGGACACACCTCGGTCTAACGTGTCCCTACGGTCAAATTATTGCTCTCTAGGAGCACCATCATTTTGTCCAGGCCATTTTCATTAGTTGATTTTTTAAAATGATTCTGTTGAACCAAAAGTCAAAAGCAATGTCTGATTTCCATTAGTTCATTTTTATTTATTATTGCTTCAGTCAGTTTCAAGTTGTTTCAGTGACCATTGTGGGGTTTTCTTTGTTTAACCGAAGGCTACCAGCAGCTTGTATCCGGTAAGTTCAGTATAATTTGATGCCAATAATTGTTCATTTTTTGTGCTACAGTGTGAATCTCCATAAATACAGCTGTTCGATAAAAGTAATTCATTTCTCCATCGATTCGGTTTCGGTACAAAGAAGTAGAACAGTACTCAAATAAAACTATATTTAATTCAATACTAACTAAATGAAGGGACATTTTATGTTCTCATTTCCATATTCACGTTATTTTATTGACTCGTGTTTATTTCCTTGACACGTTGTCTCATGTATCTTTCCGTGTCCTTCCCTCCTACACCCTACGGTCGGAGACGTGAGGACCAAGTGTCTCCTCGTGTAACCCGACACCGCTGCCACGTCGCTCCCACTTCCTGCAGGGACCCGGTCCCTCCGCGGGGGGCCTCCGGCTGCACGGGGAGTCCGCCCCGTAGCGGAAAACACCGCAGCGCCGCACGGCCGAGTCAATGTCCCCGGAGCCCCCGAATGTCCCCGGAGCCCCCGACTCCCCCAGCGAGGAGGCGGACTGACCGCCGCGTGTGTCCCGCTTAACCACCGCCTCGGCCCGGGCCGGAGAGGACGGATAACGGTGTCTGGATCCGAGGAACCCTTCTGCTTCTTCTCTCCCAGGGGTCAGGAGGACCCGGTAAGGACATTTACTCCGTGTAGCTACATCGCTTTCTTTGCATGTCCCTTGGAGGCTTCTTACTGCTCCGTAACCGTTTCGAGGGACAACTTTAGTATGACAGCAAATACTTGAGAGATAAAGACTTTCCTTTCCGAAGCTCAAGTGTTGTTATGTGGAACTAAACTACTATGTGGACATTAAACTGTTGCACTGAACAAACGTCTTTATGGTTTAATTTTGCTGCTGCATCTTGCCTTTAATACTAAAGTATTTAGATAATAATGCTTCCTTAAACCGAAATACCCGTCTTTCAGCTTAAAAGCGAGTGGTATCTGATCATCAGTGTAGTTGGTGAAAGTCCTAAACTTGACATTTCAGAACATGGTATTTGTATTCTACATGTTATAAATACGCATAGACTACCCTCCACTGGTTGAAATGGGAAATTGTATTTTTCTCCTGGTTGAACTGGATCTAAACCTTCTGCTCGGTTCTGATGCTATAAGGCTTATTGTCCAGTCAGCACTAAACCCAAACTATAAAAACAACGTGTGTCCTCGGTGCTTTGGCTCCTCTGCCGGTCCCTGTGTGTTGGCTGCAGTTGCTCAGATGTCTGTCTGGTGTCGCACAGCTCGTCCTCACCCCTGCAGGTGACGATGGTGATGATGATGATGATGATGATCTGAGGGTAGATGGCGGATGGCCACACCGACGTCTATTTGCGTCGAGCCCATCTAGAGTAGACTCTCTTCATGAAATCATCGACAAAAGGGTTGTCATGGAGACGGGGATGCAACAGGCTCCCTTGTCTTTCCCATGAGAGGCAGGACACAAGAACCCCACCGGGGGCCCGGCCAGGAAGGCTCTGCTGGGCCTGGACATTATCCCTAACGTCGTCATTACCATATTAACTTTAACTTCTGCTCACAGAGGACGTCCTGCCAAGAGATGAACCCAGACCTGCACAGCCTGACTGACGTGTGAAGGTAGCAGCAGTTGCGATGGGTGAGTGATGGTCCAACGTGATGCAGCTCTGTACGGACAGCGCGTTTAGTTCTGCTCGGGTGTAAAGAGAAGCAAAGTGTAACGTGGGCACGAAACGCACTTCGGGGCTCCGGTGTGAATCTGTGATACACGCGTGGACACGAGAGACCGCTGAAGCCACGCGAAGACCATCAAAGGCCACGGACAATCACCAAACTATTGCACTGTAATCCACCAATCCAATAGCACGCTTTAACGCTTTTACTCGTGGACCTCGCGTGGAGCCGTTTTGAGCGTCATATTCCTAATATAATGGACCTCAGTGTAATTGTCAGTCAGTAGGGAGGTTGAGCAGCTGTCATTTGCATTTCTGTCAAAGGATTCTGCACATGAAAGACTCTCAGGTCAATGAGGGAGGCATCTGCAGGCCGGTTGGAGGGAACAAATATAATTCACATGGAATACATTCTGTAAACTATAATGTATGAAGCAGCCTGTGATTGGATGTACGTGGTATAAAACGTGAGCTTAGAAATCACTGCAACGACTTGACTTATTTGTAAGAGAAGTGTTATAAAAGGGCCATTCTGATATAGGACAGACAGGAGCACATACAGTCTGATCTAATGAGTGTGTTCCTGTAAATACAGCTCTCTGAAGCATTGTGATGGTCCTCGCTACCACTAGACGCAGAGGAACCGATTGTATTCATTTTTCTTCATGCTGGTTTTTGGGGGGTTAACATCTAGTGGTCATTATTGGTATTTCATCTCTTGGCATCTTTTGGCAATTCAGATTCAGCCTGCTGAATCTCTCTGCGAAGTGCTCTACTTGTTCTGGTGGAAACTCTAATTAAAAAGAAATCTAGATCTAGAGATACTGTGTGTGTGTAGATGTTAAACCTTCTTCTCCTTCCCCCTAGGTAGCTCCGTCCTCCGCTTTGCCAGCCTGGTGTCCACTCTGGGCGGCCTGGTCTTCGGTTACGAGTTGGGCATCATCTCAGGAGCTCTGCTGCTCATCAAGGTGGAGTTCAGGCTGTCATGTGTCCAGCAGGAGGCTCTGGTCAGCTCTCTGTTGGCAGGAGCTCTGCTCGCCTCCATCGTGGGCGGCTGGCTCATCGACCACCGGGGCCGCAGGAGCTCCATCCTCCTGGGCAACGTCTTGATCCTGACCGGCAGCCTGGTGCTGCTCATCGACTCCTACTCGGCACTGGTGGTGGGCAGGATGGCGGTGGGCTTCGCCATGTGTATCTCCTCAATGTCCTGCTGCATCTTTGTGTCCGAGATGGTCGCCCCGGATCGCAGGGGCCTCCTGGTTACTGCGTATGAAGCCGGGATCACCGTGGGCATCCTGGCAGCCTACGCCATGAACTACATCCTGTCCGACTCTGAAGGAGGCTGGAAGTGGATGTTCGGATTAGCCATAGTACCGACTACGATTCAGTTGGTCGCCATCTGGTTCCTCCCGTCCAGCACGGAGGAGACCTCCAGCCCGAGATACGGCTTTCAGACTGAGAGCGGCGCGATGAATACCGTGGAAGCGGGTGACCCCAGAGCCGGTCTCCGCGCGGAAAGCAGGGCGGTTCAGTACAACAGCACGTGCCTCTTCCAGCGCAAAGACAACATGAGGACCAGGATCCTCATCGGCCTCGGGCTGGTGCTCTTCCAGCAGTTCACCGGCCAGCCGAATGTCCTCCTGTACGCCTCCACCATCTTCCACGCGGTGGGGTTTCGGAGCAATGCCTCGGCGGTGCTGGCGTCCGTGGGCTTGGGCTCGGTCAAAGTGGTCGTCACTCTGCTGTCCATGGTGTTCTCGGACCGGGTGGGGCGGAGGCCCCTGCTCATCGGCGGATGCTCCGTCATGGCGCTGTGCCTGATAACCATCGGGCTCCTCAGTGGAGGTTCAGCGATGAATGCCGGGAGGCCTTGTGGCTCCGAGGTCAACGGGACGACGCTGCATCCTCTAACTCCTGGCAATCAATCGGCGTTGGACATTCCTTTACACCAGAGCCACAGACGTCTGGACCACAACACGCACGGCGACGGTGTGGTTCTCGATGGGGTTGTGCAGATTCAGCCAGGCGATCCTTCGGCACCTCCTCTGCCCCCCCGTGGCTCGGTGGTGAACTGGATCATCCTCCTGTGTATGATGGCTGTTGTCGGTGCATACTCTGTTGGATTTGGACCAAGTTGGTATACTTTTTTCATAGCGGGCCTTTCTGTGTTTTTATAGCCGAACGTGGCAAGATGCATTAAATATAATACGAGATGTAAATATTGAATATAAGCCTGAATTGATGTGGAGTTTGATAGCATGCAAATAATCTTAATGCAGCTTTCTCATCTTTAAGAATAACGTCATCCAACATGGAGCTTGTCAAGCGTATTACTACTTTTATTTCATTTTCTATCTTTGACCAGTGACCTGGCTTCTCCTGAGTGAAATATTTCCAGCTGCTATCAGAGGACGGGCATTCGCATTCACCAACTGCTTCAACTGGGCCGCCAACCTGTTGGTCACATTCACTTTCCTGGATTTTATCGGCGAGTGACCGCGGTGACCGCGCAGATAGATGACGGCGAGATGTGTCGTTATGTAACGATTGGACGGGTTTATTACAGATGTTGGGATGTAAATATTTTTAAGACAAGCAACTGTAGCTTACAACAGAAAGGTGAAGTGACTCCGGGACGTGCTTTCCATCAACAGACGCCGTCGGCCTGTCGGGGACGTTCCTGCTGTACGGCATCACCGCTGTGGCCGCTGGGCTTTTCTTCTACTTGGTGCTACCAGAGACCAAAGGGAAGACTCTGGAGGAGATCGACGAGGAGCTGCGTTTGAACAAGTACCGCCTGTATTTGTCTGAGTGATACGCAGCGTCCTGTGCAGCGGCGCGAGACCCTCATGTGTGTCTTTGGCCTCGTTCTGCAGGTTTTACCACGGCGAGCAGTGCTGCTGCATCGGGAGCTGGAGAGGACCGTCCCCACAGTACCAGAGAGTGCGCTGTCAAGTCAGCGAGTCAGGGTGATTACACGTACGATACGTACGGACATGACCGATGTTCGGCTCACCTGTGGCACCGGCTATTGGAATATACGGTTACCTTTGATGCTTTGTGTGAACATTTTAGGTGTTTTTTCCATTTTTAAGAATGGATCAGTTCAGCTTTAGGTTCAACACCAGAAGCTGCTGTGCACCTTTATACGTTAGGTGGGTTGTAAGTAGGAGCAGCCGTCTTGTTCCCCAACTTGATCCTAATACTACATAATTTCCAGAATGAGGGACCATATTTCAAAGCGCCCGAACGCCTAAACTAAACCCGCTGTCTCCCGTCGGTTTGGTTCTGTCTGATGGTCTAGTCGTCGTTTTGAAGCTCTCAGGCAGACATTGGGAGTCCTGTTATTCATATTTAAAGCAACCAGACTGTGTCCCATCCAGACAGATCAATGAATATTACATGTAAAGTCTTCACTGTATTGGTATCATGTGGTGTATTTGAATGTGGGTCATAAATCAGAATACATTCTTGATAAATAAAACACGTTTATTTACACAAATATTTCTCAAATACTAGTCTTCTACATAAGGACATAAAAATATATACAGTGATGTAGGGACTGCAACTGCTCCGTTCTCGGGTCAACGTATCCATGTTTGGATTCATTTGCATTTTGCAAGATTGAAAAAAAAAAAGTTGCGCATGACAGAGCAGGGACTAAAACGTACACTTAAACTTTTCAAGTGCTATTCAACACCTGACCTCTGGGGACGCCCGGTGTCCTCAGAGGGACAGAGAGCCCGAGGACTCACCGCAGGTCTTCATCCGCGTCCCGTAGTCGACGCCACAACACACGCGAGCAGCCTGCGTTACAGTACGGTCACTCCCACAAAACAAAACTAGGTTAGGTCAGCCTCGTCTTCCAACCGACTGAGTAAACTTTGGTTGTGTCTTGAAGTCATTCAAGAAAAGCCACTTGAAGTAATTCAAGGAAGTGGAGCAGCAGCACATTTTGAGAAACCATTTCTTTGAGAACCTGAATGAACCTCAGCTGGCTCCTTGAAGAGCCAGGAGTACAACACTGGAGTTGTCCGACAGCCCGGGACACTTGACAAAAGCTCATGACGGAGTCGCGTATCAAAAAGAAGACTGGTGATCTGGTTTGGTTAGAAAAAAAAGGCTAGACGCACCTACCCAGGCAGAGAAAGTGTTCCAGCGTCATCGTGTCCACACACCTGGAGCACCAAACGCATCGGGAGGCTGTCGACTTGTGAGCAGACTGATTAAGTGTCATCGGGTGGCTTTTGACAACGCTGCAGTAGCAAACCTTACAGGAGGAGCCCGCTTCGGTCCAACGACTTGCTGCTGACGGACTTGTTGACCACTGCCTTCACAAACAAACTAGTAGAAAGAAGAACCATAGCTCGCTCTCTCTCTCTCACACACACTTTTGTAGTCACTACGGCCCGTGGGAAATGATGAAAGGAGTACCTGTATATTCCAAACTACACAGAACATTCATTTCAGATGTCAGGTTAACGAGTTCGAGGAAGAAAAGGAGCGGCGGGATAAATTATTTAAGACGTCGGCGTCCTTCAGCCGGGAGGTCGGTGGGGACAAAGTAGTGAGGGCGGGCAGAGCCACGCCCCCTTTAAAAGCCGCCCCGAGGCAGGACAGGGTGGGCGGTTGGGTTGTGGGGGGGGGGGGCGTCACTGGGGGCCACCGGCGGGCACTGGGGTGCTCAGGACGTTGGTGGCAGCAGAGAGGACCGGAGAGCCCTTCAGTTAGCCCAGGGCTGTGGACCCCCGCAAGGCAGAGATACTCTAGATGAATGAAGACATTTACGTTATGATAGTCGGTGTAATTATCTTTCGTGATCGAAGTAGAACCGGCTCTGCAGGACGCCGGCTGTTTAAAGCGAGTAAGCGTTCGCTTCCTTCGCCGTCTCCTTAAGGTCTGCACTTCTATTAACATTAGTTTTAACATCGGGAATTATGATGGAGTCGCTGTGTGGCGCGTCCCCTCACCAGTGATCATGCCGGCTGAGCTGACGGCGGCGGCGTTCCCACCGGGCAGAGTGGCTCCGCCCACGCGAGACTGGTCCTTCACGATGGGGACTGCGGGGACAACAGAGAATGGAGGACGCCCTTATTTTTCCTCAGTGGCACAATAGAAAGTGAACTCAGCGTCACAACCGTCGAGCCCTTACAGAAGTACGGGTGATCCATGGCCTCGCGGGCGGTGAGCCGCGCCTGGTGGTCGTAGCGCAGCAGCTTGTCCAGGAAGTCCAACGCCTCGGGGCTCACCAGGTGCTGGTTCTCGCTGTGGACGAACCGCTCCCAGCGCTTACGGGAATGCCTGCAGACCAAAGAGCACACTTCATTCTGACCTCCATTTACACTGAAGACGGTGGACACGGGGACGCCTGACGTGAAGACACATGAGGGAAAACAATTCAAATGATCAGGAAATAAGTTGCTTAGCGGTTAAAAATGTCATTATTCCCTCGGGGGGTCATCATCATCTCTCACCTTCCCAGAATGTCATTGAAGCGCGGCTCCAGCTCAATGTTGTACTTGTCGATGTAGTCATACAGGTCTTCAGTCCCCAGGACCTTCGCTATTCTCACCAACTGCAGGAACAGCAGACAGGAACAGAGCGTTCGTACAGGGAACGTCCACCTCTGGGATAAGAATCCGCATCGAACCCGCTCCAGTCCTTTGCAGTACCGACGTGGCCTTCAGAGGGAGGAAGAGTTTACCTGGTCATAGTTGTCATGGCCGTGGAAGAAGGGCTCCTTCCTGAAGATCATGCTGGCCAACATGCAGCCCAAGCTCCACATGTCCAGGCTGTAATCGTACATCTGCAACACACACGGCAACATTTCAATGAGCTGCAAATCCATGAAACGAGAGAGTACATCATGGCGATGGATAAAGTAACATCCGATCCACTCACACTGATATGACGTAGTGTAGGACATCGTGGGGCCGAGTCACAACAGGTTAACATGCAGTCAGAAACTACAGAGTTGAGTAAATGAGATCAAAATGGAGGCAGAGTTTGATAGATGTGAAGGGGCCATTACTCCCCCACTCGACGCCTCTGGCTTAGTTTGGCTTTGCAGGCTGCTTTGATCTCAAGATGGAATGATTCATCATTACAAGTGGTATTTTATGAAAATATTTTAAAATGCATACAAAAATGTAGGTCAACAGTGGGCTTGTTATGATGCCAACGTTAAGACTTTGATATAAATATCATGATACCTGTGGAAGTGCAAAAATGTACTGTAAACACTTGCTATTAAAATGTACTGTAAACACTTGCTATTAAAATGTACTGTAGAAATGCATGATTATAAAACATGATATTAAAGGTGTTTATTTACACTACAAGTGCATGAGTTTATTATGAACACAGTCGGCATCAAAGAATGTCTGAATTATGATGCTTAGAAGGATCTCAACAAGAAGGAGGAGCGACCCTAATGACAATGTGCATTTGTATCACAGCAGAGAGGCTCCAAGTAGTTTTTATTACCTCACTAGGGAAGAAGTCTTAGAAAAGGGCCCCTCAGTAAACTGGAGGCCGTACCAGGAACCAAGTTGCACAAAACCTCCTTTTAAAAGAAGCTACTTCGTTAGAACTACAAAATGGACCGTTATAGTAAATCAGAAAGCAGCACGTTTTAACCAATAAGAGGCGACGACGCCGCACGATGGGAAGAGACATATAACGTGATGTCATCCTTTGTTCGTCAAAGTGTCTCAGAACATCAAGTTCAATGCAAAGTTGAGTGAGTTCCTCCCAGAGGCCCCGTTGGGGAGGGTTGGGGGAAATTTAAGCAAAGCCGCCCACAGACGTACCTGATAGTCCACCAGCAGCTCGGGTCCTTTGAAGTAGCGGGAGGCGACTCGGACGTTGTACTCCTGCCCCGGGTGGTAGAACTCGGCCAGACCCCAGTCAATGAGACGCAGCTGCAGGCGCACAAAGCAAGCGCTCGCTCAGCAGCCACAAACCGGCAACGGCGCACAAACCAAAGACGACGAGTCCGAGTCCAAGACAACGGTGGAAAGGGATTCCACTGGTTTGCTACTCGGCCGAATGCTTCTACTCTCAACGTCAGTAAGTGTGACTGAAAACAATACGCCGCCTCCCCGACGGTGGTGACTGGCTCAGCTAGCTCCCCCGCTAGCCTAGCGTCCTGCTCCTCGTACAAGTTGTGTACATTAGACATGTTGGTGCCTCTTACAAAGGGCACTTAATACGATAACAGCACGGTTTGCTAACTCGGACAGTTTTTGCCAACGCTGCAATAAAACTATATGATGTAACTTCTGACCGTGGGTGCTAAATACTTTTAATTCTAAAAGTAAGCAATGCCTTTACTAGCGCGGGAAAACAATGGCAACACCAGTGAATTATCCCCCACGTTCTAATTAGACAAGTATACCATCATAGATTCATCAGATTTGACACAGAACGAGTCCTGCTGAGGCCAATCGTAGCTGGTGCACCCGGGTTAGGAAACACGCTGTAATGGCGCAGGAGTCGTCGGACTCTGTGGTCGGTGTGACGGCAGCCTTGAATCGCTCACCTTGCGGTGCTCGTGATCAATCATCACGTTGTGTGGCTTCACATCTCGATGCATTATCCCCATGCTGTGGCAGTAGTCCAGCGCCTACGGACACACAACTCGGTCATCCATCGGTCACACGGTTTGCTAAAGGGGGGAGCGTGGCGTGTGGAGTAGAGATGGTCCTGTATCTTCATTGAATCTTGGGATTAATGTGAAGACATGTCCTTCAAAAGAACTGGATTTATTTATATTTCTCAATGAAACAGTTTGACTAGTTTCCATGTGGCCGCATGGTGAACTCCGACTGAACGCGTCATGATGTCGCTCGTTCTTCTCCTGTCGATTCACAGCAGGGAAGCTGAATTCCACATCGTCATGGTTAACATTAAACATCATTCATTGGCAGTTTGCATGCGTGCTGAACCGTGAGGGGGACTTTTAAACGTGTTCGTCGTTAAGTGGTGGTTGGTTTGTGATTCAACAGGCTTTTCGCTTTTCGAGTTTTCTCGAGTTTTAAATTTAACAGCAAGTACAAAAGGGCAGAGAAAATAAAATCAGACCGTGTTGTCTAGGACTGGGTGCTTCACCCCCTCACGTGACACTTAGAGGTTAAACAGCAGACAGCTGAACCCAGAAGGACTCACCTTGAGGATCTCATACATGTAGAAGCGGATGTCGTAGTCTGTCAGGGTCTGGTACAGTTGCTGGAAACAAAAGCATTGTCATTGGGTTTTGTGTGGAATCGTCCTACAGTAAAAGAAGACAACCACACACACACACAAACAACCGCACAAGCACAAGAAAACAACGAGAATGCAGAGAGAGGAGGTTTCCATGACCTCACCTAACAACTTTTTCCAGAGTGAAGGAGAAGCGACCTACCTTGAAGTCGGTGTTGTTGACATGCTCAAAGACCAAGGCGGGTGTCCGGGACTGAAAACACAAAAGGTGTGTGTCTTTAATGTGCTGCAGCCTCAACAGACTATACCTGCCACGACTTCAATCCATCCGCTGCACGAAGCTATGGAGGCGAAACAAACCAACCAACCGCGCAGCCACACCGTAAGCGACGCGGCGGCCAGGTCTCCGGATGGAAACGTAGACGTTCATCGTTGGTGAGATTTCCCCACAATCGAGAATGAGGACACCAAATGTTTGAAAGACGCTGGAGTCAGCTGACCCACAAAGTGGTGCCTGGTGGCTTACGGTGTGAACTAGAGCTGCAGCTAATCAACCACTCATCGACCGACGGTCCTCTAGTCTATAATCAGCCGTTAACGTCTAAAGTTGCCAGAGCTCATGTGATGTTGAATGCATTTAGTTTGAGAGGAGAGAAGAGTGGTTTCACTTTATGAAGTCAGCAAAACTTCACGAATTACCAAAGACAGGATGATTATGTAGTGCCCGTATTTTGATCCGGTCTAATTTGCCCACTCTTTGTGTCTGTCACATTAACTAAAATGCCTCAAACAAAAGGTTACTTTTTTTGGTTCATGTATTCCAATATATTTGTCAAACTGAAAACTGATGATTATTGTGGCAATCCTGCATCCTAATATTCCAACTAGCGTTGTTGCTCTATTGTTAAAGTGAGCCCTGGCATCCACAGCAGGGATCTGACGTAGAGTACTTACAGACACATACTTCCCAAGTGAAAACGACAAGCTCGCACAGGTGGTGAGCTCCCCGCGCTATGGCACAGTGAAGAAACCTCAGAACCTCAACATGCACAACACAAGCTTGTTCTGACAAAATAGAAGTCATGAGAAAACAAAACCTTGGGATTTAAACAGGTCCCCTTTAGGGTCACATGCACAACATACGACATACGCACCACAGGGTCTTTCACGATATCGATGAGGGAGATTATGTTAGGGCCTCCACGCAGGTTCTCTAAAATCTTGATCTCACGCTTAATTTTCTTTTTCTTCACGGGCTAGAACAAAGAGGAAGAGTTTATCAGATGGGATTAAACCATTCGACCAGAACCACTAACTCGATCCAAGAACCAGTCTCTGCATGGCTTTACCTTGAGAATCTTCACCACCACCTTCTCATTGTTGGTGATGTTGATCGCCTCAAAGACTTCGCTGTACTTGCCACGCCCAAGTTTACGCACCAACTGAAAATCATCCTGATTTCTGTGAGAGAGGAAAATAAATAAAAAGGTGCCCGATCATCAGCTGGGTTGAGGACTAAAGCAGCATGCTGCAAATGTTGTGTAAGGACCACGGATGTATTTACCCCCACTCCACCACGTGGGACTCATAGTCCCAGTACTCCCTGGGCCGGTGAGTGTTGACCTCTGTGTACACTCGGGCCCGGCTCGGCACGGGTCCTGACATGTCCGACAGCTTGGCAGAGACGGTTGGCAGATCTCACTGCAACGGAGGCGCACGGTTGGAGTACTGGGAGGACCGGCAGGGTGGTTAGGGAGTGAGAAGAGGGAAGGGAAGGGCTGAGGAGGGTTGATCCCAACAGAGCAAGGGGTTCAAGGAGAGTGGGGGAGGGAGGGGGGGGGAGGGCTTTGCCTGATGACGGGGGGAGAGGCCACCAGGGGCTCAGTTGGATAGCTGGAAAAGATGGCGAGGAGAGGAAGTTGAGGATTATCGAAATTGAATTCATGATGAATATTGGTAAATCACACGTTGCAGTGTTTTCCTGCCATTATAGCAAATTGTTTTTGTTTCCCCCCCCCCCGCTCAGGCAGTTGTGGCCGACTCGTTCGCACAACTACTTGCTGCCAAGAGATGAGATGCTGCCACCGGCCTGTTTACCTCCGAGCGCCCGAGCACGTATGTCGGAGCGCTTCTAGTAGGGACAAGCGTGGGTGATTGGAAAGGTCGTCCATGGATTTAAGGGTCGGCGCTTTGATCAATGGCTCCACTAGTCTGCGCGTCGATGCGTCCTGGGCAAGACCCGTGACCCCAAATGTCCCCCGCAGCCGTGACTACGGCGTGAACCTGATGGACAGGTGTCACTGCGCATGGTGGCTCCTGTCATCAGTGTGTGAATGGGTCAAAGTGACTTAGGTAGCCCTGGGAGGCAAATGAGGGATTTTGGACTACACAAAGGCGTCCGTTGACTTATTCGTTTGTGTTTATAAAAATACGGTCATGTACGTTTATCTGCAATGAATAGATCTTCAGTTTGTCTGCCTGTGAGACGTGCTGTGTAGATTAAACCTGCATTGCACAACATGCACCGAGGACCAACAATCTATAATCAAACCGAACAGTGTTTTCTACAGGACGTGGTGTCTGTCGTCGGCCACGCGGCTCCCATCATGCCGCGGGGTCGCGCGCTACCTGGAGGTAACCACTGACCACGCGTTCGTTACGTCACAGCCCGTCCGGGTCAAGTCGGACCCAAAAACCAACCCGCCGTGTTGTGCGCCGCCAAACGCCGATGACCGTTACCGAATTCATCAAATCCCAACTGTCACCGGAGTTCCCACGGAAGTCTAAAAGAAAGCGACCGCGACGGGATCAGAACCCAACGAGCGGGGCGCTTTAACGTCATCGCCCGTTAAGCTAAGGACGTAACGTTAACGTGGATATCCGCGCGAAGACCAGAGGACCTGACACGGCGCTTGTGGACCTCGACGTGGACCATGACTCGCATCGAAGCAGACGCCCGCGAGTTAACGTCGGCCAACCGGCTCCAGCGGCCGTCGGTGCTCGTAACTTATCGGCTGTCGGCGGGCCCGAGCCGCTAGCCCGCTAGCCCGTAGCGTGGCTAACGCGAGCGCTAGCTCAAGAACCCCGGACAACGGGAGCCCGCGTCTGCGACGGGAGGCTGGAGTAGATATTTACCCCCTTGAATGAGTCCACGACGGAAACGCTTCCCCCGTCAGCTGAGTTTCGTCAAGCCAACGGTCCTCGCCTCCCTCCGTCACCGGTGTGTGATTTCTGCTGTATCAGAGACAATATGGCAGACCACCGCCGCCTACGTCCTGTAGCGCTGCGACGGAGGCCGCCGAGGGACAAACCGCCGCGCGATTGCCGACCACCAGCTAGCGCCTCGTAGGTGAGGAGAAGTACCTTAATTCGACTCTTCATTTAACAGGAAACCAGTGCATGAAAGTAGTGCAGGAGTAAAATGAGCACTTCTCTTTAGTTCTTGTTGATACACTTGCTGCAGCATTCTAATGAAATGGATAATGCTATTCCAGCAGCTGGATAATACCGAAAAGCAGTATTCTATTCTAGAAGTGACTAATGCATGAACCATTTTTTTCTGCATAACTTTGATGAAGTGCCTTCTTTTAAATATGTTGCACAGGTGGAAAAGGGCGGCCCACAGGACACATCCTGGTCAAAGAGAACTGCAGGATTCTTTACGTTGCTGCTGGATACCAGAGGAATTCCATCCAGAGGAACTAGAGTGACTTCAAAGGCCTTCTGGGCCCAATGAAATAACCTCTGTTTTGTCTGAGTTTAACATCGGGAAGTTGCAGGTCATCCAGGTTTTGATGTCCTTAACACATGGTCTCATCAGGCTTGATCTATCGATACAATTGATTGTCTGCATAACAATTTTTTTCTGAGGGTTTTTCCTGATAATATTGCCTAAAGGAAGCATTTATGAGGTAAATAAAATCGATCCAAGCACTGAACCTTGTTGAACTCCGTGAACCAACATGGTAGTGAGAGGAAACTGCCTTTAAGCATTTGTTGCTCAATAGTGGAAATCCATATTCCGTTCATATAACAATAATTCCTGAAGGAGCACTTAAGAACAATACATGTCCCGGAGATTTTCAGAAATAGCCAATCTGTGGCGTGATCGCTCTACAGCTAACTAGAGGAATTACCTCTTTAAACGTTACTACAGCGGTATCCAATAAACATTTACTCTAGAAACCCCTGCCAAGAGGAGCAGATTCCAGGTAGAAATTCAAAGGTTATAAGAAAATGATCCCGCCGGCGTGGGTTCTCCGCCTTCCTTCAACCGTCGAAACATGTGTTGCTTTGGTCCATTAAAGACTCTCAATGACCTAATTGTCAGTCAAAGACAGATACACTCTGAACAGGATAAATGGTGCAAGATAATAGCAGTTAATGGTATTATATATTGTGTAGTATGGGCCTTAGCCCAAATAAGCAGTCAAAGAGACCTGCTACTGTGTGTATCCCCTAAGTCCATAGACACAGAGCATCCATTCATATGTCTTTACATTCTGATTGGATTGATTATTTATCAACTTGCAGGTCCAACTTCAAATTAAAAATCTAAAAAAGATGTATTTCCTTAATTTGAAGTTTCAAATTCTCTAAAAGGTTCTTATTATTTCCAAAAGGGGGCGCCCCAACATTCAGAAACAACGCCGTAGTTCAGCCTGCTCGTTTCTTGGCAACCTCCATGAAGACATTTTCAGACTCTGACTTTTATTATTTAATACAGCTGTGAAGATGTAGGCATAATGCTGGAGACCTGTAACACAATCCAGCTGTGAGACTGGAATCATCGCATAGTGAGGAGGAACGTTTAGTGAGCTATCGATATGTTGCGTGAACACGCAGCAAACATACTTTTACATGAAGCTGATTTGAGTTTCTCTGCCTTTGAGCCTCCTGCAGGATACAACATCTGGCAAAGTGGTTCTTGTGTCTGAATCCAGTAGAGAGATTTTTATCTCCGTACGTATAATACGTCAGGAGACTTCTTTTGGTATCGCTCAATGACAAACAAAGTTCACATGTCACACACACACACACACACACACACACGCAGGAGGCGGGTCCAGGAGGTGGTTAGTGGCAGCAGGGCTCTGTCACTGAGACCATTCATTGTGCTCTTTGGGGCCTTGATTGAGGATATCCTCTAAACAATTGCTGTTGGTGTCGAAACTGGTTCAAAGTTCCTGCCATCCATCTCCCAGTTACAAGAGGCTCCGAGCAGTGAACAATTGCCTTTATTGCTCTGAAAATAATTCTTCGTGTCTCGTTGAAAGGCAGATCTACAGCCCCGATACAGAGGGGCGTTGGCTCGTATGTGCGTTTTTTTTCTGGATCAGGGGGCCAGTTGCGTCCCACGAAGCTCTCTGCCAAACGAAGGGTACCTGCGATTTGTCTGCAGCACACTGCAGGGTCGAGGGGAAGTGCACAGCGGGGCTTAAAATGGGATGGTTTGCGTATTCGGCCTTCTGAAACTGAGCTTTACTGCTAGTAAGTTAGTTTGATTTAAAAACATATGGGGATCATGTTTTTCTCTAAGCAACGATAACACAAGAAAACAGAGCCTCCGCTAGGAAAACTTTGGGCGATGCAGAGGAAGTCTGCCTCTTTCCTCCTTCACTTACATATTGTATTGTAGTATTATTTTGACGGGCAGGAATCAGGCGTCAGATTAGTGACCTTTCACCTCCGCGTTATGGACCGCCGCCCTACGACTGAGGCGGTGAGCGGGAGCCAAGCGGAGAGCGATCACAGCTCCGCCCCGGTGGGTTGGTGTTGTCGGGGGTCAATGTTTCAGCTCATTCCACCGCTTCCTCGTGGGAGGGAAGCAACGGTCCCGGGAGAGTCCGCTGCTGAGAGCAGAGCGCGTCGGCCCAGGCCCGGCCCACCAGTATGTCGGGGATACTGATTTGCTCTTTAAAACCAGTTACGTCAAACCAAAGGTTGATATAGTGGATTGATCTCACATGATGGTCCGACCTGCAAACCCACCCGAGTACGTGCATGTCGTTCCCAAAGAGAGCAGCTTGCAGCCCGAGCTACAGACACTGCTAAATCTGGCAAGGACGTCAACAAGTTGGCCAAAATAACAGCCACACCCCAGAAGGGATCATTGGAACAGTAATCAGGGAACATGGCTTTGCACTCACAGCTGTCAACGGGCCAAATGAAATGATTGGAAGTGAAGGTTCCCTTTGCCTTAATTTATCACCTTTACCACAAAACGACCGGTGCAGATGAGGACATTTAAATTCCGGTGAGGTGTGTGAGACCTTTCTGATCAATGTGACTAGATTCCAGAACCTCATTCCGCTGAGAACGTTTTCAAATGAAGGAGGCCTGCGGGACAGGTTGATAGTCTTTTTTTCCCTCATCACGCATTTGCAGTTCCTCGGGTCACGTAACCCGCTCTGTAAATTATGGCTCCTAGACGCCGACGCTGTGCATTAAGCAGTGATGTTCTGGGGACTTTACCTGAACACCAAGCAGCTTCACGCGCCGCAAACAACCATCTCACACGTCCAATTTGAAGGCAGTTTACAGTGTGGAGCATAATCACTTGCTGCGCCCATAAACCCTTCACGCTATCTCAGTTTTGTTCTGAATTGCTCGTCAGTATATTTTTAATTGATTGTCAGTTATATACACAGGGTGCGAATAGAAATGGATCGTTTGATCAGGTCTCTGTCGTTGTTCAACTGAGATTTAATGCGCTTTGATTTGTAGCCTTTCAATGAGCACCTTAACCTAAAGAAGTATGTATATCGGCCTACAAACAGTCCTTTCAGTAGAAGCACATCCTGCGGCGTCTGGTTGTGCTTGTTTGGCTGGTTGCTCACTGCTCTCCTGCTCCGCCCATCGATGGAAAGCAGCCTATCGCTGTCCGCCGTCCCACGAAAAGGCCCCGCGGTGTCCAACGGCGATGCCTCTGAGACTCCCGCGTTGTCCTGTCAGACAGTTGAGCTACAGCACCATAATTATCCACTCATAGAACAATTCAGTGTGAAAATGCAAAACAGGCTATTCACGGATATTTATAAGTAATGTGTGTATTTTTCTACGCAGAAATCTGAATATCAGCTGAACAGGACGGGTCATCTGGGCCCCCCGTTGATGATGAAACCCGGCACTGACCTAGAGCCCGGGGCCCCTCGGGGAGGGGCTCGGCAGGGTCGAGCACTCGGCCATTTCTCCCTCTCTGTCCCTCTATGACATCTTCCTGCCTGCGGGGGCCTCTGGGAGCCATCGGGCGGGACTCCGCCGGGGCCCCCCGGAGCTGCAGGATAAGCTCACGCAGCAACTTGTAATGAGGCTTCAGCTCTGACAGGTGTGTGGGGGGGACTGGGGGGGTCGGGAAGCCTTATGCAAGTGTGCAGTTATTTGTGCCGCCCCGGAGGGCTGCGAGTGCAATAACTTGCTTCCAGAAGGGTGGACCTCCAAACATCAGCTGGGGGGTGATTTAAAGGGTTCAGTTCAGTCATAACTGTGTTGTCCAATCTGTGACGGAGCTCCCAGCTGGCCGTGACTCTGCTGTTGCACCACACAATGTGATAATAAGTAACCGCTGACTGCTTGTAAGGTGTAGTTACTTGCAGAAATACGGAGCCCCTATGGGCGTCATAAAGTATTGTAGTGTACATGGATATTCCCAACATAAACACAAAAAGAGATGTATGCACAGATGTGTTTTCTATGAAAGCACAGCTGTATGTATGTTTACATCAGCGTGTTGTAATGGTGGAAATCCAAAATCCAGAAACCCTAAATCGACCATTGCATCTTTCAGCTGGCCCCTTTTCCCGCATGACGCCACTAAACAATAAATTGTACACACTTAAAGGCCTCACATCACGGTCATTTTGTAGGTTCATATTTGAATTTGGTGCTTGCACTAGAACAGGTTAACTTACTTTAATGTTTGTAAAAAACACTTTGATCCCCCCCTGATGGAAAACGCAGAGTCTGCTCTGATTGTGGGAAACACATGGTGCAGTTTTGCGAGGTTAGTTCTCCGTCCACAAGAAGCGCCTAACACGACTCGCATGTTAAATTACATTTTTCTAAGTTTAAATTTATATCTAGCTAGTCTTACTTCAGTTTTTTGGGCTGGTTAGCGTAGTCCAGATACCAACCTTACGTGCACTATAGTGGAGACTATATGTCTCCTTTAATGAAATATGTTGCTAATAGATTACCCATGATGCTGCACGCTGGCCCCAAACGAACAATCGATGTGTTTCTGCATGCACACTGATTGTACTCGCTCATCGGCAGCTGCGTTTGCCTGCACACAGGGTGCTGGGTGATATTAGCTGTGACTGATCGACACCACATGTGGATCCCAACGTGAGAGAGGGACTATCAGAGCAGAGATCAGGCCTCATTTCTGTATTTTCCTGGATACAGTTTCCAAATGTCCACCACTTTGAATGAAATGTTATTCATGGAAACGGAATATTAATTGCATTCATGAAAACCAGATTCAGAGTTTGACTTGTCACGCAAACACATTTGTGAACTCGTACACGTTAACAAAAATGAAATTCTCAGCACCAACACCAAAGTCCGAGCTGGGCCTCATCCTGTCCGGGGTTGATCTGGTTGGCACGGCTCCAATAATGTGCTCAACCCCCCCGATGGCCCCCATGAGTAATCATCAGTCACCACAATAGATCCAACAACGCTCATTTGCGTCCTTCCTGTTTTGCCGTTACCTTTTCCCAGAGTGCACTCTTGATTCATGCCTTCCTAACTGGCACCGTGCACCCACTGACGGCGCTGTCTAAGGCCTCGCGCTGCTGGGACACAACCCGTCCAGAGAGAGACCCGCGGAGGCAGAGATCCATTACTTCCTCTGCTGAGAGTCCTTGGCAACGCTCAGACGGAGGGGGCAAACCGTGCATCGGAATTCCCCGCGTGGGTTTCCTCCCGTGAGTGGGTTCGGACGCCATTACGGATCCTTACGTCCTTACGTGAACTCTGCATGGGCGTTATAACCCCTGCAAAAGGCTCCGTATGAAGGCTTCCCCACCATTAGGTCGTTTTGCTTTTGTCCATGGCATGTAAGATTTCTGCCCCCCCCCCCATAAATCCACAGCAGCTGTCAAACCTTTTCTGCCGAATTATTTCTTCATTAGAAGGTAATTGAGCAGAGAGAAATGCCTCTGCTGTATCAGGAATCACAAAAGCTGGATAAATTAATGCTAAACTATCCGTACTATTAATCTACAAATTGAATATTTCAATAATAACATTTTGCAATATCAGTAAGCGTCTGTGGTGATATTCCTGCAAAGACATTTTTTGGAACAATGCTCACAAATACTGAAAACCTGAAGCATAGATTTCAACAGAAAATATATTCCATTGTTTCCATCATTGCAATTTATGGATTACTACTTTAACAACCATCGTTCCGGGTGCGAAGCCGTTGTGCAGGCAGAAAATGGAGCCATGTTTATGTAAAAATAAATTTAATTTCAAAGGATAATCACAACATGTAATTAAAGCAAGTGTCCCACAAAGATTGCAGCGCCCGCTTTGGGGGACGGAGTGGTCTCCCCTCAGTCTGTCAGTGAGCCGAGCTCCCAGAACCCTGAAGCAAACGCTCATGGGAGTTTATTTCATCAGTATCGTTTACCCAACAGACCGGCACAGAGACCACGTCCATGTCCCCGACTCCTCTATCTGTCCAGTAGTCATGCAAAGGCTTGGCTTGACCTACAGAATAAAAAGACACTTTCTATGAACACGCATGGCTGCATTATGGGACAATGTGTCCCGGGCACAGGGGTGCGACAGGCGGGGGCCCTCAGGACTCCCTCTCTTCAGAGTGAAGCACCTTTTTGCTGTTGTTTTGGACTTTTTGTGGTTTTCTGTGGTTTTCTTTGAGTACACGCCTCTCAGAGTGGTATTTTGCAGGTCATTTTCCACATGGTTTCAGTTTATCATCAGATCATCTATTGTAAAATGTCTCATTTAAAAAGGGTAGCTGCTTTATATAATTTGTTTTAGAGTGGCAAATACATCTTTTTATTTACATTTGGATTATAACCTGTGCCTTTAAATATTGATTTGCACTTGCACATCATTTTCCATGCTGCTCCGTGGTAATAAACCTTTTGGTAATCCAGAGCGAGTGATGTTGTATATTCTGTGGTCTCCAAGTACAAATGAACAATGCAACGAACATGTGACGTTACTCACTTCCTGGTGTAATATGAACTGATGATGCTTAACGAATCAATATATATATATATATATATGTATTCTGCCCCTGAAAGAGAGTGAATTGTGTAGAATTCCACTGCATGTCTACGTAGACAATCACCTGAATGTGTTTTCCATTGAAATGTACAGTCGCTCTCCCTCTCCTACGATATGCCCTCTGACATTAGGGCACGTGGGATCTGTGGTGATGCTCCAGGCCAAAGGCCCAAAGTCTGCGTCGTCCTCAAAGACTGCTTCCCCGCGCTGAGAGCGGTCCGCTCCAATGAGTCCATCCAACCCTCCTCACGGACAACTTCACCGCCGACTGATTTGTCTCACGCCGCCTCCGTGCATCTTCACGCAGTCTCGTCTGTCCTTCACCTGTGAACACAGAGGGATGTTTCCGTCTCTGCGTGTCTCTGGGACACATATTTGGTGACCTAAACGCAACTTCAGATGCTTAGATCTACTTTGCAAAGAGCACATTGACATGTTCAGTGTGATTACATGTCTAAACTGGATTAATCACAGTAGTTCTCTCCATGCACTGAATTAAATGGTGTGTTTTATTGAGGAGCATGCAGTTCATTTCACCCTGACCCCCTATTCTCCTTTCTAAAGAGGAACAGATCCACTACAGTCCAACCAAGAGGAGCTGTGCATTTACCCAAACTCAGCATAGAAAAGAGTAAGTGTCCCGATGACACCCATGTGTCCAATCCCTAAATTCTAAATGAAATAAGTGACTACACAGGATCTCAGTGTGAGCGCGTCTTCTCCACATGCGCGTCTTACCCCTCTGCGCTGGTTGCTGAGGCAGAACGTGCAGATGTTGCGGGGCTTCTTGCCTCCTCCGGCCGCCTTCAGCTCCTTGTAGACGGCGCCGAGGCACGGCTGCGCGTCCCCCCTGCCGTCCCCGACCACCAGCACGTTGGCCAGGTGCGCGATGTAGCTGGACGCGAGGCGCAGCGTCTCGATCTTGGAGAGCTTCCTGTCCACCGGCTCCGTGGGGATGAGCGTCCGCAGCGCCGCGAAGGCCGTGTTCACGTTCTGCGTCCGGTGCCGCTCCCTGGCGTTCGCGGCGTTCCGATGCGGCACCGCGCCGTCCGACTCCCGCGGGATCCCGCAGCAGCCGTAGCCCTGGTCGGTGCTGCCGTCGCTCTCGCTGCGGTTCTCCTCCTCGTCGTCCGACATCAAGGTCAGGTCAGCGGGGTGGGAGAAGGAATGCGTGGAGACCGGCCTCCGCATAGTGAAAGCCATCATGTGGAGGCGAGTGATTCCCGGAGGGGGGGAGAGGGGGAGGGAGGGGGGGGAGGGGAGCCGATCCCTGATGTTCAAGTGAGAAAACAGCTGCATGCAGACCCGAGCGCCACGTGCAAAGTCGCCGCAGGACCAGTGAGAGCCAGAGTTCGCCCCCCCCCCGTGCGCGCGGACGCTTCCCCGCGGGGTGGATGGTTCGGTGTGGCGGGGAGCGCGTCGGGGCGCGCTCTTATAGCGGCCCGCAGGAGCCCCGCAGGCCGGGGGAGAGGGTGGGTGGGGCACACGCAGGGGCTCCCAGGGTTCCTCCCAAATGTTTTGGTCCTCAGAGTCGGGATGGGTGTGGGGGCACCTCCACCCAAACGAGCCTTACCTCGTGGAGATATGTCTCCTTTGGGGCGATAGTTGATAGTGACCTTCGGATGCAGATAGCATGAGAAAGGTTCACTTGTCAGCAGGTAACGAAGCACATTTACTTGAATGGAGAGTACAAATACTCCACTGGTGTGTTGTGTATCTTCTGGACGGGTTGTGCCGAACGTGAAGCCGCTTATGTAAGTACGTTATGTCTGGGTTTCAAACAATTGCAAAGAAATAAGCAAATGTAAGTACGAGAAATACGTTCATATGTCACGAACGTCACTTCAAAACGAGCATACTGCCTACATGTCTGTCAGTGCTGAGTGGGTCCTGCATGTGCTCTTCCTACATCCACGAGAGTCGAAAAGTGTAACCGAAGCTAAAGGCTGAGGGGCGCTCCCTGCGTCCCCGCGGCTCTGTTACTTCTCACCAGGCGCTCGTACCATCTGCAGTAAGCTCTGGTTCTGCATGCAGCACATCTGCTTTCACACACTGAGCGATTAAAGCCTCAGTTTTACTCCAAACGACGGACAGCACGGAGACTGTTCTGCTAGGAGACGCGTTCCACGCGTGCACAGCCGATCCCCGCGCTACTGGATCAACAAACAAACAACCCGGCCATATTGCAAAAGATGGCAAAACATGCATCGTGCTGCCTTGTGGCAAAGCCAAACGCTTTTTACCTAAAAGCTCAGACCACTCTCCCTTCAACAAATAGGAGAGACACCACCGTCCCTCTCATACGGCCCATTAGACCGAGGCGCTCCTCATAAACAGGCATATGGCGTGAGGCTCTCGTGACTTCTTGCACCTCGCACACGTTGCGTCGTTTGTCTGGACACACGTGTGGAGCTGTGAGTGCGATTTGAACGTGACGCTCGTCTGCAGTCGTTGAGTCTGATGACGACAAAACATTTCAAATGAGTAAATGAATCCAGCGATCGAGTTGAGAAAGTCATCGTGGCCGGTGGGCACAGCACGGCCGGCCCCTGGCGCTGGCTCCTGGCGCTCAGAGGGCCCGGGGAAGCGGTGGCTCTGCAGTTGCCCTGCTTCAGTTTGCCTAATGGGTTAACTGCTGTGGGTAAATAAACACTCAGCAGATGCTGGAGGTGATCAAGCCTGAACTTTCTCTGTGGAGAACCCAGCAAATGGCTTCCAGATTGGCCGGCGCTGGTGCAGGGGTCGGCAGGCGGGGGGGGGGGGGGGGGGTGGTAAAAATGAAAAAATTTTATCGGGTGGTGTGTTTTTAAAAACCCGACCCCCCCTAAAACATCAAACCCGGCCCCCCCCGGGCTCAAGCTGCACCAAACAACGGCGACCCGAGTGGACCCTGGTTTGAACCCATAAAGCAAGAGACACCATGGTGTTTTCCCACGGGCGGGGCGGGCAGGCAACACGACCCCCGTGACCCCCCCCCCCCCCTCGCCCCCCCCAAACACCGCCACGCTGTTTGGAACCGTAAATACTTAACCCCCCCACACACACCCAGCATCAACTCAAAGGAATGCCATTACATGCCTGGTGGGGTGATTAGTCCTCAGGGAGTGAGGGTCGGTGAGGATGTGAGACTGCTGCTCAATGAGATCTTCTCACCTCGGCGTGATGTTCCACTGAAGGCCTTTTGGAAGCTGCTCCACATCAGCATCATAGCAGGAAGCTGCCAACTAATATTGTGAAATAGCAACGGGACTATTGCGGGATGGTCAACGTGTGTCCACAAGTTAGGACATCACTTTAGGTTGGTCACAGGAAATGTGCTGAATGCTTCTCCTTCCCTCGAGTTCTAAAGAGAAGATCTTATTCTTACTTTTACAGAAGCGATGTAAACATAAAAATACTGTGCCTTTATTACCTGGCTACTCACTCGCGTTCAAATTTAAAATGCATTGTCTTGGCCCTCGATAAATACCCTTAACACTCAATCAATCAATCATTCTATTTCCATGCTGTTCCCCATTGTCATTGTTCCAGTCATTTTGCGTTTAGGAAAGGGTCTATGCCGTCTTATGAATCCTGATTAATCTGTAATATCCTGTTTCCTCATGCTAAAATTAGAGAGAATCTTTTTTCCTACATTGACTTTGGAAACATGTCATGCTGAGAATCAAAATATGTCCTCCTAACCTGAGAGCAAATAGCATTTAATGTAATGAAGCGCTGTAACGATGCGCTTTAGGAATTAACAGTTGTTCTTCTCATTAACTCATTAATTCTCAGCCAACTATCCATTGTTGGATGCCTTTGAGGTAATGATTATTTTTTATTCACAATGCAAAAGAGGGCTGTTTGACTTTGTTTCTCAGAGGGAGGTCAGCGCCGTTACCACGGTTAAGCATATAGTAATATCTTACTTTTATTAAAAAGACCAACGCGAGTAGACCAGTGGTATTTCATGTTGGCTGTGATGCATCTAAAGTAAAGAACGGATCCCTGAAACCATGCAGGTGCCAGACGGTATCCTCCCCTCTGCAGAGTCCCCACCGCACGGCGCGAGTGACGAGGCGCTGAGCGTTTGGCTCTTAACTATCTGCTGGGAGACACTGCGGTCAGATAACTTGACTCATCGGAAACAGCTGTGCTGAGGAGAGAGGCCGGCTGCCGCCTGCTGCAGAGGCCGTGCATGACTTATCTGCTCTGAATGATGTCGACGAGAGTTTACCGTACAAGTACAACAACTTCTACTGCACAGCTACCGTGTTTTTGGAGTATCTCCAAATCAATCACGTTTCTTTTTTGCCGTAACGGTGAACTGAGTTTCTCTTCATCTTTGGCATCTTTTTCTCTTCATCCGAGCGATGAGCAGCAGCCCCGGGAACCAACAGCAACAAGGGCTTTATGGACCAATCAAACGCCTCACAAAAGCCCGTTGCTACATATAGACCGAGAGCAGGAAATAGAAATGGCCATCTGCCATGAACAGTGGTAGAACATACATTTAATTACAGAAATACAATCCATATCAGCTAAGGAGCTATGTGGCACCGTGGTGGTCAAAGGGCCAACAACATATATCTGAAAACAGCATGTCTTCAGAAATCCACAGACGTCGTTGTGAGAAGTTCCTTCCAGATCTGTCACGCCTCCCACATGGCTGTCATGTCGGTCGCGACCAGATGGCAACCAAGACTCAGAGTTAAGCTGATGCTGAAGTGTCTTAAATCATGACTGTCTTAAAAAGCAGGGGCGACTCCTCCCGATTGCAAAAAGATGTGCGATTGCATAGAAGTCAATGACGAAATCCCTTCAATGCAGCACGATATTCATTTAGTCAATTATGATCTATTTAGAGACAATAAAGAAGGGGATGCTTTTTGCACGATGCCTCCCGTGAGCTAGTAGCTCTTCGGACCCTCGGTTAACCCGGATAATTAATTCATCCGCCCAGTCGTCTCTCCTGGTGATTCAGTTGCCGCTCCTCGTGCGGCGCGGAGCTGCTGTAAACCTCTCAGGACGGAAGCACCAGTGTCCTCTTTCATTCCACCCTCAACGTGACCTCAAGATAAGACTCAGCACCCCCCCTACCACCCCACGCCTTCACCCCCTTGAAGAAGACGCCGATCGTCTTTCACAGCTCCGGACAGTCTGAGCGGCGGAGGCAGGTGGAGCGGCGTTTCATTAAAGGTTGAAGGATTGGCCTCAAGCCACATCCGCTGCTTGTCCCACCTCAAGAATTGAAGAAATCCTCCGTGTGGAGATGCCAAGTTGTCTTTTCACATCAGATGACATCACTGTTAGGACCTTGTCCCTGGCTCCAAGAGGGAAATGTTTTATGGGTGAATGTTTCTCGCGTTACACTAAAAGGTAACACCAGATCTCACATAAACACCCTGAAGCCGCTTCATGGGACAGATATCTAAAAGAAGCAGCTGTTTTTTGATCCTGCACGGGGGGCTGGTGCACCACTGTGTCATCATCCTCCCGTGGGACCCCCAAAGGCCCCCAAACCGGCAGAGCATCAAGCCGAAGCCTGCGATACAGGACGTCGACTCACACGCGATGCTTCTTTTGGGAGGAGCCCACTGCTGGGCTTTAAGGTTCCTCCGGCCCACGTCTGTGGTCTTCCTTCAAAGCCGCCCGGGACCCCTGAGCCAAGAGGTCACACGGTTCATCACAGCCGAGAAATCTACAAGTTGGCTACAAAAGCTTGTCCGACACGATGCGGCACACACGGCTTCAGGTCCGATGAAGGGCTATAAAAAGTCTCATCCGTTTCTGGCCTGAGGTCATTCTGCAGCGCTCATATCCTCCGCGCTGATTGGCTGTTGACCCGCTGCGGAGGTCCGCTCCTTTGTCTCTGGTCGAGGTTTTATGTTTTGCCGACATGTACAGTCGGAGCATGATTGCTTGTTTTTATGACTGTATCCTTTTCACAGTCTGGCAACGGGGCGAAAAGGGGTCAAGCGAGCCAGATCTTTCTTTTAGTCCCGCTGTCCTATAAATGTGTATAAAAGTGAGATGCAAACAACGCTCATTTTCATTGTCCTCACAACAACATGAAACCGAAAGAAGCAGTGAGTCTTCAGTGAAGCCGTTTTAGTTGGCAGAGGACTTGCACATGTTATGCTAATTTTCATAATTGTGTTTCGGGTTTCTAAATGAACATAATTACGTGCATCCATTGTTGGGACTTTAATTGTTTGCAGTGTGCAGAAGAAACAGGTTTCAAGATCAACTCTGGAGGGAAATGTGACATTACAGGTCATTTAGCTGACGCGTTTATCCATTTATAACCCACGGCTTTTTACATTTTTGCCCGGGGAGCAATTAGGGGGTTAAGTGTCTTGCTCAGAGACACTTCAACATGGGACATGGAGCAGCCGGGGCTCAGACCGCCAACCTTGCGGTTCCCGCCGCACCGTCTCTGCCCATCCGCCACCATCGACCCCTGTTTCTAAAGCCCCCTTTCCATCGGACACGAGTCCCACTGATTCCAGGTGCAGGAGCAGAAAGTGACGTTGAGCGACGCAGGGTCATTTTACCCATTGTTCAGTCACACATCATGACCCACGTGTGCGTGTTCCATGTCTCATGTGTGCATGTGTACTGATATGAATACGTGTTTTAAATGGTGGCCCTTTTGTCTGAAAATAGCCATGTCCACGGCCTGTTGAGACGCATACTTCCATTCCCCCGTGAGGGGGTTGGTGGCCGGGGGCCATCGAGAGCTCGGCCCAGTCTGCTCCGGACCAGCGGCCCTGGTTCTCATGACACCTGACCCGGAGCACATCCTGTGGTCCTGCTGCAGCGCTGTGCTGCCGAGGCCTTGGATCTGCTCACGAGGAATCTCCAAACATGGCGTGGAGGGAGGAGGACATACAGGCCCCCTGCTAGGCAGCTTCAGCATACGCGTTTAGTCCGGATCACAGAGGAGGTCGGATTTCACCTGCGGTGTTTGTGTAGTGGCCTCCTCTGCTGGTCAGCGGACGCATTGCAGGCGGTAAACAAAGTGAGTGTACAGCATGAGTTGCACAGGCTCCTAGTGACTATAATAGTCTGCAAAACATCTGTATTATTTATATCCTGCAAGGTTTCTCATTGGTCCATCTCATGTGGTTTCAGTGCTAGTGAGTGGTAATCTAAATACCTGGTAAAGAGAATGTGCTCCTGTGATCTACAGCTGGTGAGATTAGCCTGAACACACCATTAAATAACTGATCACGATGGGCAAATGTTGGCTGCATTTACTGGCTCATTGACATACATAGACGTGCCTTGCATTGGTACCTTCACCCCCTCGGACTTTTCAACACTTTGTTTGTAATAACAACAGATTAACATTTATTTCATTGGGATTTTATGTAATGGACCAACGCTAAATAGTCATCATTTGGAAGTATGCTGAAAGATTACATTGATTTACAAAAAAAATCGGAAGTGTAAAAAAGTTCTAGTGCAACCAATCGCCTAAGTCACATTTGCAAGTCACGTAATCGGTAAATCGGGTCCACCTGTCTGAAATTTCATCTCAGCATAAATACAGGTGTTCTGTGAAGGACTCAGTTTGAATTACTGACCCAAGAGCTTCATGAAGACCGAGGAGCTCACCAAACAGCTCAGCGAGGAAGCTGTAGCAGACTTATGTTATAAAAGAATATCCCGAGCTTTGAACATCTCACAGACACAACATGTCACCAGCCAGCTGTCAATCACAGTAATATACTCGGCTTTATGGTCTATTTGTCATTATTTCTTAAATTCTGAAAGTAGATTTCAGAGTCACTAAGGGAATACGTCATGTAAGATGTGGTGTTGTGTTCTCATAGACTTCTATTCAATCTGACTTCTTTTTGCCAGCGTAGCAGTCGCCCCCTGGTGGTCAACAGAGAGAATGCAGATCTTAAGACCCCCAACAGAGCTTCTAGTATCTGGTTTATATGTTCAGTGTAATTAACAGGTTTATTTGTCTGCACTCACACCTGTGAGGCAAATTTGTGATTTTGGGCTGTACAAAATGAGTTGAATATTATGGATATGATATTAGTAAAATCGTGTCATGTTATATGAAATATGTTATGATTAGAATGCGGTAGATATTTGATGATAAATGTGATCTATTATATGCCATATTATTTTTACTTGAAGTAGCTCATTGAAGGTATTGTGCTCTCGAAGTGAATAAAAATCAGTTAGGCGAGCGACGGTTTTCAGATTCGACCTCAAGAAGGCGCCCGAGAGGGAACGAGAACAACAGGCAACGGACTCGCTGGGCTGACTAGACTAGATGATCTAGAGGCGAGGAAGAGGAGTCTCTATTCCGTGGAATATAGCAATATTAAGAGCGTGATTCACTTCTGTTAGTTATTAAATCGTCTTTGATACTAACTAGAGTCAGCTGACTTGGAAAAGGCCTGAGAGAGGTCACAGCTACACTCGGTACGCAGCCAGCCCGTAAATCTTCAGACTATCGTACAATCTACACTTTAAAACCCAAAATACTTAAATACTGAAAATTTAACAATGTTAAATTTACCTGCTGGTCTGTACAGTTCAAACTAATGAGTCAAGAGGTCACTGCCCTCAACAATTAAACAGCTTTAAAAGTGCGTTTGATCTTTGCATGTATTCATTCATAGGAGAGAGTTTAAGTAATTATTTTTTCAATCCGTTTTATTGTCATCACCAAATTGATCAGACAGAGAAATATAGGGTGTCAGAATATATTTTGGCTTTTGTTTTCAACGAATCCAATACACAGCTTTTCATGAACCCATGTTAAATTCACAAATACATCAACCAATAATAAATAAATAATCTTCCGAATTGACAAATAAATAGTTAAATAAATTAATAAATACACAAATACTTTTTGTAAACGCACAAGATATGTTTGAGGTAAATTAAGAGCTCGTTGGCATATAAAATAATACTGGCATTTAAATTATTGCAATTTCAATTTATAAAAAATAATATAAAATATTCTATACTTGTGAATTTCATACATAATTCCTGAATAATTTCAAGTGAGGTTATTGCTTATATCAAAAGGCAGGATTACGATGCATGCAGGTGAAAGCCCGAGAAGAAGCTTTTCTCTGACTTTCTTTGTATGAACTATTAAAAAGCGTATAAATAGAAATGAAAAAGAGGAATGCATGGCCATCAGTCCTCAGAGCTGCAGTCGTCCTCCGCTTGCTGCCCCTTGAAGCACGCCGACTCGTAGTGCTTGTTCAGATAGGACTTGAGGGCGAAGCTCTTGCAGCAGCGCTTGCAGGAGTAGTGCTTGAAGGCCGAGTGCGTCTGCATGTGGGCGCGCAGGTTGGAGCGGTCTGCGAAGGCCTTGCCACAGTGGGCGCATGCGAACGGCTTCTCCCCGGTGTGGGACCTCATGTGGCCCTGCAGGAGCCAGGGCCGACTGAAGGCTTTGCCGCACACCGTGCACTCGTGCTTCAGGTCGTGGGTCAGCATGTGCATGGCCAGCGCCGGCATGGACACGTACACCTTGTGGCAGGTGGGGCACTTCCGGGCCTGCTGGCTGTCCAGGCTGCGGTGAGTCTGCTTGTGTCTGCTCAGGTTGGAGGACGTGGCGTAGGACTTTTCGCACTCGCTGCACACGTAGCGGCCTTTGGGTTTCCCCTTCACGGGGCTGCGGTCTGGCGAGCTGACGCCCTCGCTGCTGTCCGACCGGCTGCCCCCCTTGCGGGGACGCCTCCGGCCGGGCCTCCGGCGGGAGCGTCCGTCGGAGACGAGGAAGGCGCCGATGCCGCACGACTCCAGCCCGGGGCTGCTGGCGTCCGACTCCGCCGTGCCGCTGGAGACGGGACTGTCCGGGTGCTCCATGTCGTGGTCGGAGAACTCCTCCCCGCCGCTGCCACCCGGGGAGTACAGGGGCAGCGAGGAGAGCCCGGTCTGCTCATGACCCGGCTCCTTTGTGGCCTGCAGCACTGACGGGATGATGTAATCGTGGATGTATCCTGGGGAAGGACGAAATACAATTTATCAAGAGATGCACCGTCGCCATCGTCCCGATAACCTCTGATGAAAAGTGCCTTCGTACCCAAACGCCCAATCGATAGGAATCCTACAGGAAGCTATTTGTAAGAGCGAGGTTCAGCAAGCTTCAGGATTGAAATATTAATGAGTCTTTGGGTGCACATTTCTGAACCCAATCAATACGTCCACTGGCTTCAACAAGTGCTATCGTAGGGTCGGAAGTAACGGGGGAAAGGCGCATTGTGGCTAAATATAAGTCCGGCACAATGTGCTGACATTGACAAAACAGCCGGCGGAGCAGTGCTTTGGCTGCCCATCGATCCACCTGTCGCCGCCTGGCAGCAGCAGCACATCTAAATCTGGGAGGGAGGGGGGCCGGGGGGGGCCGGGGGGGGGGGGGATCAAAACACAGCGTCTCAGCAGTGAAATCCCCTCAATCACTAAATCATTTTAATCAGATCATTCCCCATCTGTGGCGTTTTTGAGAGCATTCATGAGTGTGGTGAGGGGGGGGGCATTGAGTGACAGGTGGAGGGAGGCAAAGAGGGATGGGAGAGAGAGTGTGTGTGTGTGTTTGGTGGCGGGGGGGTGGGGGGGGGGGGTGATCTTGACAGCAGTCAATGGTATATTGAGCCCACTGCCCCCACCCCACCCACCCCAACACACACACACACACACACACACTGGAACACAAAGGGAAGCAGACAGCTGGCATCCTAAATCTGGGGGACAAATGATTCAACTTGAACACAAGATGTGTGATGCTGGTGGTGGTGAGGGGTGTGTATTGGTTGGGGGGGGTCTGCTTAAAGCGCACATTTCTTTGGATGTTTCTTAAAGCCAAACACACACGCACACAAACACAAAATATGGTTTGAATTGCGGGGCCGCTCTTCACACCCCGCCTCCCCCGCAGACGTCCCGCCGAGGAGCCAAATCTACTGTCTGCCGATGCACTGCTCATGTTGCACTTTATTGAATTACCTGCAGCACTCTCTATTTCCCAGTCAATACCCATCTTCTAAAAACCCTGTTCCATCACCTCTCGCTGCTCCGCATATGGATTGTGTTGCTGCAATCCTACTCCCTGTGGCTATCTAACATCCTGCAGGATCAGATGGAGAGAGATGAAGAGATGAACTGGGGGAGGAGGAGGAGGAGGACGGGGGGGGGGAGAGGGGGGGGGATGAGAGAGGAGAGACTCAAGGGCAACTGCACCATCTAAGGACAACACAATCCCATGTGGCTATCTGCTTTCTCCCCAGCGTTGTTTTTCTTCTTCTTCTTCTTCTTCTCTCTGTCGGACCTGACAAAGACTCGCGTCAGACGGCGGCCTAATGCGCGTGCACACGTACGTCTCATCATCCGGGGGCACAATAGTATTAAAGCCAAAGGCCGCCGTGTGATCTGGTTGGAGCATTAACCAGATTGAGCCGGCGTGACCTGAATACTATTTAGCATCCGCCGAGTTAGAAAACAAAAGTCCCGAGGCATACGGAAGGGGGAGCGAGCTGCGTCTGTGGGTTCATTTCTTCGGGGTGGAGGGAGGAGGGGGGGGAGGGGGGGAGGTGGGGGGGATTTCCAAGAGCGATTAGGGAGCAAAGAGAACAACACGAACAGCGTTGCATGGATCCCTGACTGTCGATTCATGCCATTTTTTTGTTGCTCGTGAGACGGATCGTCTCCAGAGAAGGAGACAGCAGACACAACAAGTTCAAGACGCAAGTGGAGAGAGTGAACTCACCGTTTTCGCTCAAGCGCACCGCCAAGTTGGTGGCGGACTCTGTGATGGCATGCGTGACGGTGTGCGAGTCGTCCCAGTGCTGCTGGTGGTAATAGTTGGAAGACGAGAAATCGTGAACCTTCGGTTGCTTCACCAAAAAGGAACGTGGCATTTTCTTGATTAAGAACAAAAAAAACAAAAAGCTGTTGCTAGATCCTCATAGGAAATCGGGGCTACGGATAAAACAATAAAAGACAAGAAAAAAAAAAGGAAGAAAAGAAGAGAGAAACGTGCTCAGCTCGCGAGCGGCCTTCCCGAAAGGCCAAACGCCAGAGGATTGAAGCACAAATCCAAAAAGGTGTACAGAGAAATCTGCACTCAAAGGTCTAAAGCCAGAGGGGAGAAATGCAGTGAAAGCAGCAGGAAGAGAGAGAGAGAGAGAGAGAGCGCAGAGGACAGGGAGGATGGAGAGGAAGACAGAAAGTGGCGAAGGAGAAACAGAGGCAGAGAGAGAGAGAGAGAGAGAGAGAGAGAGAGAGAGAGAGAGAGGGAGAGACGGCCGGACGAGCTGAGCTCAGCACTACTGCAGCCTTTTATATGTGGGGCACAAGCCCCAAAGATCAGGTGGTGCTTTGGAAGAGGGAGCTGCTTAGCATTAATCCATCAAACATCCCCGGGGACACACATCAAATTACCACGAGCCGTCTGTGCTTCTCCTCGCACGCACACACACACACACACACACACACACACACACAGAGCAGTCAACTAACCCACCACATCCTCCTCCTCCTCCTCCTCCTCCTCCTCCTCTCGCCCCTCGCCTCCCCTCTCCTAGGGAGGGAGGGCAGACAATAGTGGTGCAGAAGCACGTGGGTGACACTACACACAACATCTTGTCCTCCATTGTCTTTCAATGAAGTAGCTAACACAATTTATGCTGCCCCAAACACACACACACACCCCCCTTACCGCTAACAGCGCCACCGCCTCCCATATTTCATCATCCTCATCATCACACACGCAGCTCGTTGTGGAAATGTGAAGCGGCAGGAAGCGAGTCTCGGTGTGTCCCTCAGATTACGGGATTGGGTTTTGTGCATTTTCGTCAGATGTGGGTCAGAGACACTCACACGCATTCACGTCCCCTCATGCGTATTCTTGTGCGCAATATCACAACTTTAAACAGTAACGGCGTCTGCAGTGGCAGGAATTAAACCCTGTCATGTACTGAACATTGTTTTAACAGGATTATCTGTTCTTTATTTGTATTTGTATCTGTTCAAAGCATTTAATGAAACCAGCGATTCAGAACGTTTTGCTGACTATGAACAAAATCCATATGTTTTCATATCATTGTTCATGTTATTGTGATCATTATTGTTATAACTGCAAATGTTGTATTCAAGATGCAGCCCAGAGAGGGATATCTGCCATATAAATGTAAATCCTTCACAGTTCTTTATTATTTGGATGTCTTTTTTGTTGAGGCCAGATATTATTGCAATACCTACAGAACAATAACACAAAACTATAATATTTTTAGCAAATTAATTGCTTTTAAAATCTAAAGCAGGGAAGCATTGAAATAGCCTGTAACATTGGCTGTTTATCTGAAATCATTTCCGAGGTTCTGGGTTATTTACATGATATTTTCATATCTGAAAAGAAGCGGAAGAGCAGTGTCTTAAAAATACAGAACCTCAGCTGCTTCTGCTGATTCATTTTTAAACATTGCAGTTCATCCTGCTATTAGTTACTCAAGGATTTTGAGGCATGACACAGCAGCGTGTAAGATATGTATGTATGTGTAAGGCATACACATTCAAACATGCAAAGGAATATCTTTTTATTTGAACTGTATTTTATTTTATGGAAATCAGCAGTTTAAACATTTATATTTTTCACTTCCATCCTCTGTTGTCCCTGTTTCTGACAGGTGTATGTTCCTCTGAAGACCCCTGAGGCCTCCGCAGCCATATCACCCTCACCGGGATAAAAGTGACCCCCACAGTGACTTCCGGTCTGTCAGCTGTGACAGGCCGACCTCCGTGTGCCTGCAGGGTCACAAGGTCACATTCTGGTTAGCCACAGAGACGTCCGCCGCTCAAACCTCGTCCGCAGATGGCTCTGCAAGATGGAGCTGAGTGAGGCTGGACCATAAAAAATGGAATTTAACGTCCCATGACAGATGTCAACACGTATGATGAAACTCTAAAGTTAAAGATGCTGAAAAATGTTAAACAACATCCATCTTAACCTGTGAAACAAACAATCTAATTTAGTGCTGGACGGTTACAGCACCAAATTAGATCGGTTACAATTTTTAATCGCGGTTAATCACATGATTTTAATTATTGTGTGCAAACTTTCCATGATGAATTCATGGAAAGTTATGCAAACAATAACAGAATTCCCTCGACACAACAGCTGTTAAAATATTTGTTGCAAATCTTTAAATTAATATAATCAAATATAAAACCAAAGCTTTTTGCCACTGCCAGGGTATTAATGTTCCATCAAGACTGTTATGACAAAACCAGTTACCTTTGCCTAAGTTACCAGCTAGCCAAGTTAACATATTAATCTACATCGTTTTCTTTTTGTGTCTGAACAGGTGCCAGCATTAACATACATTTGCATTTTCTTGAATCTATCTGTTAATCACTTTGGTTCTATCAACTCCTCTGTGTGGAAAGCCATTTAAAATGAAAATAGTAATGAATTAAAAGGTAAGATTTAGCTACCTCTCTCCATTCCTCCCGCAGTTAAGCTTGAAACGCAGCTTTAGCCCCGCCCTCCAAAGCTCTCATTGGTTGCGACCCGAGGTGATCCCCTCCCAAGTCAACCCCCCCTCCTGTGACCCTTGGTTTGTCTCTATGAGTATTCACATTATACAACTTTTTATTTTTTACTACTAAAAAAATTGTGTTACGTTGCTGTGATGTGATGTTGTTACATTGTGTTGTTATGTTAATGTTGTGCGTTGAGTTGTTATGCTGCTGTGATGTGATGTTGTTACATTGTGTTGTTATGTTAATGTTGTGCGTTGTACGTTGAGTTGTTATCCTGCTATGAAGTGATGTTGTGCTGTTGTGTTGTTATGTTAATGTTGTACATTGAGTTGTTACGTTGCTGTGAAGTGATGTTGTGCTGTTGTGTTGTTATGTTAATGTTGTACATTGAGTTGTTACGTTGCTGTGAAGTGATGTTGTGCTGTTGTGTTGTTATGTTAATGTTGTGCGTTGTACGTTGAGTTGTTATCCTGCTATGAAGTGATGTTGTGCTGTTGTGTTGTTATGTTAATGTTGTACATTGAGTTGTTATGCTGCTGTGATGTGATGTTGTTACATTGTGTTGTTATGTTAATGTTGTGCGTTGTACGTTGAGTTGTTATCCTGCTATGAAGTGATGTTGTGCTGTTGTGTTGTTATGTTAATGTTGTGCGTTGTACGTTGAGTTGTTATCCTGCTATGAAGTGATGTTGTGCTGTTGTGTTGTTATGTTAATGTTGTACATTGAGTTGTTATGCTGCTGTGATGTGATGTTGTGCTGTTGTGTTGTTATGTTAATGTTGTGCGTTGTACGTTGAGTTGTTATCCTGCTATGAAGTGATGTTGTGCTGTTGTGTTGTTATGTTAATGTTGTACATTGAGTTGTTACGTTGCTGTGAAGTGATGTTGTGCTGTTGTGTTGTTATGTTAATGTTGTACATTGAGTTGTTACGTTGCTGTGAAGTGATGTTGTGCTGTTGTGTTGTTATGTTAATGTTGTGCGTTGTACGTTGAGTTGTTATCCTGCTATGAAGTGATGTTGTGCTGTTGTGTTGTTATGTTAATGTTGTACATTGAGTTGTTATGCTGCTGTGAAGTGATGTTGTGCTGTTGTGTTGTTATGTTAATGTTGTACGTTGAGTTGTTATGCTGCTGTGATGTGATGTTGTTACATTGTGTTGTTATGCTGCTGTGGTGTGATGTTGTGCTGTTGTGTTGTTATGTTAATGTTGTACATTGAGTTGTTACGTTGCTGTGAAGTGATGTTGTGCTGTTGTGTTGTTATGTTAATGTTGTACATTGAGTTGTTACGTTGCTGTGAAGTGATGTTGTGCTGTTGTGTTGTTATGTTAATGTTGTACGTTGAGTTGTTATGCTGCTGTGATGTGATGTTGTGCTGTTGTGTTGTTATGTTAATGTTGTACGTTGAGTTGTTATGCTGCTGTGAAGTGATGTTGTGCTGTTGTGTTGTTATGTTAATGTTGTACGTTGAGTTGTTGTGCTGCTGTGATGTGATGTTGTTACATTGTGTTGTAATGTTAATGTTGTACGTTGAGTTGTTGTGCTGCTGTGATGTGATGTTGTTACATTGTGTTGTAATGTTAATGTTGTACGTTGAGTTGTTGTGCTGCTGTGATGTGATGTTGTTACATTGAGTTGTTACGTTGCTGTGATGTGATGTTGTGCGGTTGTAACACTTTATTTCACAGTGGTTCTGTTGGTCGGTAAACACGTGTCACTGTGCATTTCTGCATTATTGATTCGAGGCTAATTTGAGTTTATTCATGAAACGTATTTTGGGTTCGGACGCTGCGTAATTCAAAGTATCACGTGGTTTAAAGAAGTAATGCATCCTGGAAACCAGATGGACCCGTTGGTGGTTGGAGTTTTCTCTTTGAGGTCTGTGAACAATATGAAACGTACCTTTGTTTGTAGGCACAAACGAACAGGCCCGCCAAGATGTTTCATCCTCTTCCTGTCTCGCGTTCACGTGTTTTTTAATCCTACATACACATTTGAATTTGCTTAGTGATGTCGGAGAGAAATCCCAGAAGATCGGTGCGATATCATCAAACAAAGCAAAATAAGGCCTGTTTTGGCACAAAAAAGCCTCCATAATTCTTTGAATTTGTAACAATGTTTGCCTTAAAGTGGCAAAGAGGAATCACACAGACAGACATGGATTATTTCTGCCCGCTGTCGCTCTTGCGTACGTGATACTGATTGCCGGCTCTGATTAAATGCATGTTAAGTAGCGTTGCGGAGAATCCGCCCGGAGTCTGTCTGTCTGAGCCTGTTGAGCTGCGATAAGTGAGATAATTTGTGTTAATCACATCCAGTCATTAGAGAGCCATCTGAAAAACAAACGCAGGTCCTTTTCACCGAGGCATCTTTTCAGCACCTCACCCCAAAAAATCTCCCACTACGCCGCGTTACAATGAGGCAGCTGCACGCCAGTGAATGACGGTGATTGTCTCTTTTCTTTTAATCAGCACTCAGTGAGTGAGGAAGAGGAGAATTCCCCCTCTTCACTCTGCATGTTTTTTCAAGGGTTGATTGCAGTTCGCCGTGTAAAGTGATTTATGATTTATGTTCCGACACATTTCATATATATATATAAATATATTTTGAAGGCAACCAGGTTTGTGTTAGCGTCGCTCCACTGAGGTTCGTCTCACACGCAGAAGCAAATAACGAAACACCTTTAAGTCAATCTGGAAGTGGCTGGTTAAAGTCTCACACAGCCGGCGCCTCGAGGGAGGTGGGGTGGGAGGTCACAGCGGAGGAAATGAGGGAAAGGCGCGGAGGCCGTTAGCCGGGGTGACTGACAGATAGATGGAGCGGGGATGCTGATGAGGCCGACCGGGACGCCAAAAAACAGGGGAGGAGACGGTGTTCAACTGCATTTTAATCTAGTCGGACCTCAATCCTGATAAAAGGAATCTGTCCATCTCTCCCGGCCCCATTCTGCGGGTCATCAATCACTGGAGTCGACGGCCGCTGCTCCGGTTGGATGACAGGGTCTCGGGGGGGAGGGCGGGAGCTACAGATGCCGTCCGAAATGGAGAAAAACACAGCTGCAGAAGAGAAGTACGGCGAACGCGTCGGACGAGATGCACAGACAAACAACAGGTGCATCATTATTTACACAAACAATGAGTCTGAGATTTTACTGTCCTGTCTGCGTATGTTCCCAACGTCAGATGAGCATTAAAGAGCTGGCCTCAAGGCATTGTTAGCCTAGCTTAGCATAGAGACAGGGAATCGATTTTCCCGATTTGGTCCAGATCACCTTTGAAGCTGAATAATAAACCTGTAAATTAAAAGAAACGTCAAGACAAAAACGCGTGTTTTACTATTTCACAGCGAGATGCGATTCCACTGTGAGCTGCAGAGGGTCGTTTTAAAAAGCACCGCTTGCTGTTTGCCCCAGAATCCGATCTCCGGGTGTCGGCGCTCCGTCCTGTAAGAACCGTCCATGCGGCGCGTCTTCGCCAAAGTGATGCGTCGCGGCCTCCGTCCTGGTGTCCTTGCCCCCCCCCCCCCCCCCCCCCCGGATTGACAGCTATACCTCGGGAACCCGCCTCGGAATTTCCCCTGCCAAAAATGCAGCGGGGTTTCTGGGGGAGGAAGGGGGGCACACACCGCTCCTCCACTTTTCTGTCAATACACAATCAAGTGATGGTGTCAGTGGGGGGGACATTGTCTCTACAAGTGTCATTTGCCCGCCTTGAGAGCACTTACACTAAATGGGTCTTCGCCAAAAAGCCCCTCCCACCGCCGGCCGCTTCAATTGCACTGTCAAAAGGAGAAATTTACCTGCCGGCGGGTCTCTTGAACGGGGGGCCCTCGCCTGATAAAGGACGCCGCGAATCATTTAAGGCTAATGTCTCCCGCATTTAAAAGTGAGGAATGGAGGCTGAACCGCCCCATCTTGCACCAAAACAAGGGAACGATCGAGCTATCAAGCTCCCGGCGATTTGTCCTAAATAAAAACGCGTCCCCAGGAAAAAACGTGTGTGTTAGGCCGGGAGGGGGGTCGGGGGGTCTCCAGCTGTAACGCTACGGCAACAGACTGCCGACCTCTTGTGGGACAAGGGGGGCCCCGAGGGTGAGGAGGGGGGGGGGGGGGGGGGGTAGGAAAAGTGAGGTGGGGAGGTATTGTTGGGGGCCTTTCACCCTCACACGCCCTTTGTCTCCTGGCCATCTGCTGGGGTTTCATAATACGTGTGTGTGTGAGGGAGGGGGGGGGCGATACATTCCGTCACCTTCTAACCATCCGCTCACCGGAGGCCGCAGGCGCTCCGTCACACTGGGGGGGGGGGGGGGGTGACGCCGCTCACATCGCTCTCCATTTCCCAGACGACGCTCACTCGCCTTTATTGGTCATTTGCTGGAGGAGCCGGAGAAGTTGTTAATGGCAACGGCAATCTGCAGGATTCCATTCGTCAGATTGACGGGTTCTCGGCAAATGTGCTTTTAGTGTTTTGTCGGGAATGTGAGCAGCCACGTGCTGCTTGCTGGGCAGAAATGTCTCCGATTCCACAACACCATTTGGACTGGATCCTTTTGGAGGGTAAATTAAAGCTTATTTTCCAATATGTGTTAAAGATGAACAGTAAATAAAAAATAATATTGGTAAGTAAATAAAATGAAATAACACCATTAAAGTACATGTGGATTCTGTTTTCCAGGTTTCAATTACTAAAAACATTGAACAGCAGTTCTAAATACACTACAGCAAAAAAAAAAATCAATAACTGTAATCGTACGTCACTTACACACACACATACATACATTTATGTGTGTGTTGCTGTCAGACCCGTGTTTTCCCCTCCATGTGGGAAATACTCTTAACGTAACTGAAAGCAGTCATCACATGGACTCAGTTATACTGGTTTCACTGGGAATGCCCCAACACAATGCGTTATAGACACATTTAGTGTTTATCTCCAGCTCAAAGATGTTGTTTTTAATAGTCTAATATACGTCCTTATCAGCCACGGCTGCCTACGTAAATAATAAGCGGAAATATAATTATTTTACTCACTTATTCAGCAACAAATGAGTAAAGTAAATGAATTGCAAAGGACAGTTGGACTCTTTTGTTTCGGCCACGGTGTTTATGACTTTGGGGAAGGATGTTGCACATTCGCACGTTGGGCTTCTGGTCAAGTAGCAAATGTGCAACAACAAGTCAAAGAGGACCGAACGAAAACATTTCACCGCTTTATTTGTCCGGCATCAAAGTTGAGTAATACTGTTTTAATGAAAAAAGCAAAATGAATGTTATATTTCAGCCCATTAATGTGATTATAAAAAAACATGTGTACTCCCTTAAAAATGCAAATGACCGCGCAGGAAAAATGTGTCTCATTTGGCTAATTGGCGCGCTCAGAGTGTGTGTGTGTGTGTGTGTGTGTGTGTGTGTGTGTGTGTGAGGTAGTGACCCCCTAAGCAGATGCTTGGTCCTGAACACACACCCGGTCGTGTGGCAGAAAGGATACGGGGGTATATGTGTCAGCGACCATCTGACACCTCCCTCCACTGCACCCCACCCCCCCACACACACACACACGTCCATTTTATGCTACTTTACTAACTGCAATGTAACTTTATACTTTATACATTTATCTGACAGCTTTCATTACTGTGACATTAAATACTGTTTGATTCTTTTATGGAGCACAAATAAATATCAGAGTTTCTTCCATTCAGAGGAAAATGACAAACTGATACCAAGAGCAAAAGTCACAGCCTGAAGAGGGAAAGACGTCTGAAAAGCCCCGTTCAACCCGTGGTGTCCCAGTCCACCACCCACATCACATCAACAGTAGATGCTTACGGTGCCACTCAAGTCAGAAGGTGTCTTTAACATTGATGGAAACTAGATAGTGTTATAGATATTATTTTAAAAAATCAATCATTCATAAGGTGTTAATATAACTTCCATCTACTGATCAGATCAGTAACGTTGGTCTACAAAACCCTTTATTGGACACAGGAACTGAAGGCCGTGACATGACGTGTGAGGCAGATGATCTGGTCACAGATCGTAACCTGTACTGTCGGGTATTACAGCTGCGATTGGTCTCTTCAGAAGAGAGAAACCACCCCTTGTACCAGCTTTACAGTCGCGCTTTGTCTTTATGTTGTTCTGTCCCTTTATATTAATTTCTGGTGTTTAGTTTTGGTCTCTCTGTGCGTCTTTCCAGTCGGCACCTTGCGGGCGAAGGCTCTGACCCTCCGGGCCCGTCGGGTCATTCAGTGACTCGTCCATGGCGATGAGGAAACACCTACTGCCAGGAACCTATCGCATCGTTTCTCCTCGAGAGTCCATTAAAGCTTTGCGTGTAGTACGTGAGGGAGTGAAGGGCGCCCAGCTGTATCGCCCGCTGAGACTGATTCACTTCATCTTTTCTGCCCCAACCTCGGGTCACGTGCGTCTCTTTGTCCCGCTCCCCTGCAGAGGGGAGGTGCCAAGGGACGCACCAACAGCTGCAGAATGGGGACGCTGCGTCTGGTTGCGCTCTGCAGCGTCTCGCTGTCGGCGCAGAGACGGACCAGAAGGGCTGAGCGGTCGAGCGCCACGCAGCTTGCTGACTTCTGAAGGAAGTCCCTTAACATGACAAAGTTGTTGCTCACCTGAAACTACACGTGTTTCCTCATCTAATTATAGTAAGCAGTAAGCTTGGCATATTCATTGTTCACTTTAGAAATATTAACATGACAAATTCCCATATTTAGCTCCCTTGTGAAATCACGACACAAACACGTGCAAAAGTAATAATGTTTAATTCAAATAAAACCATGCAACCGGTCACCATCACCCTGATTAGATTCAACCCGTCATAAGAAATAAACATCCAAAGCTCAGCGGGCGTTCACTGTGGGGGAGAGGAGCGTTTCCACCGAAGAACAGCAGACAGACGCACGCTCCTCCTGCTGCTGCTCGCCACAGTGCAGTGGTGATGAGGTGTCCTCTCCTCCCCCCAAATCCCCTCCACCTGGCTGCTAACAATCAACCACCATCATAAAGGTTTAGGAACCATATGGCACACAGAAGACTAGAGGCAGCAGCGCCCTGTTGCATACAGTGAATGTCTAGTAGCGGTTCATTTGTGTGTACTGGACATGAAGAGAAGACAAGTCTACTTCACATGGTCGGGACACCTAGCAAAGCACTGTGGGGGGAAGGCGGGGTACTTTCAAGGAATCTGATTAAAAATAACTGCAAATGTTGGGAATATTTTATATTGTGGCCTACACGAGTCAATAGGTTTTGCTGTAGATTCAAATCCCTTCACCGCAATACCCAAAGACGAAATTAATAACTGGTACACTCAATCAGCTCATTGGTTATTTGACAATCTGGGATGTAGAACACACACACACAGCGCGGAGGTAAGACTAAACACACATTATTGAGATGACCAGAAATTGTGTGGTATTGTCTGGTCTGCACACCCCTCTCTCTGTCCAATGGAAGGCTGGAGTGTGTGTGTGTGTGTGGGGGGGGGGGAGGTCAGTTGCTGTAGACCTGGCCTTCTGGAGGCTGGGAAAGCCGGCTGTTCTCCTTCAACATCATGTGCTGCCTGAGCTCCTGCAGCACCATCCGGATGTTGTAGGAGTTTCTCCACCTGCAGAGCGCCGTCAGCGTCTTTATGTCCACCTGAGGAGAGAAGGAGATCCTTTTGAGTAAGCCCTAAAAAAAAGAGGGACATTTTGCCGTGCCCCCACAAGACCCTCCACAAGTTATTTTTAACGTTGACAATTCTCCACTGCTGGTAATTTTCTCATAGAAAACACAGGAAACGTTGGGTCAGCAGTCTAAAATCCAACAGGTAGCCTCCTACTAGCAGAGCATGACTCTGTACATGATGTCGGACTGATTCCAAAGGACACCCATCAACACTTGAAATGATTCTTGATCAAAAGGCCCAATCTGGATACTCACCACACCGTTTGAACTGTGTATGCCGTTCATGTTGATCTTGTTGACGAAGCGGACATGAGGGGGATGCTCCGGGTATCTGGATCCACATTCTATTCTCAGACTGTAGATCCGTCCATCGTACACAGTCTGCGATCGGAGAGAGAGGGGCGCGTTAGATCACGGAGTGAGGAAAATGTGGAGACGTGAACCAGCAGGATTTCACAATCTGACCGGCAGCGATGGCGAGCATTAAGGAAAACTGGAGAGGAATGGGTAATTGTGTCTGGCTGACAAAGTTCTGCTGAAAATACAGAAACAGCCACAAACGCTAAAGTCGGGCTGCCACATTCAATACTGAAGAAACACAAACTAGTCCAAGCCTTCGGTTTCTTCTCTTTTCTCAAAGGAAGCATAGTCCCCCACAGTGTTGCCTCTCAGCAAAACATGCACATTTTCACCTTAGAGAATCTTGCACACAACAACATGCTCACACACATTTGGAAGCATCACGCGGGTGTACTCATCACCGCGACGAGGAACGTCCAGCCACGTTTTTTTTTTTTTTTACTTCATATTCTACCTATGGCTCACCTTGGGTGGGCCAATGATCATGCCATTCCATTGAGTCAGCGTCATGTCGTCATCATTCACGAGGCCCCAGCTCACTGTGCCGTCTCCACCTCCCTTCTGACCTTCCTCCAGTTCCTCCAGCAGCCGAAAGCTGCGGGGAACGACGACGCCTAGACACACACACACACACACACACACACGATTTCAATTACCAAACAGTCATTTCTACAATTACATGCTTTCAACCTGCTAACCTCCTCAAGGTGACGATAGATTAGATTAACAAAACAGATTCCTTGACTCCTTTGGATTTTGTTACATACATCTGCGCTTTGCAGATATGGCCTCGCAGCATCAGTAACTACTGTAGACGCGAGCTTGCTAGAGGATTGTGAGAGTAGAACACTGCACAATTAAAAAAAGCAGTAATTCAGCCCAGGTCTGAAGGTAGCACACGACCGGGAGGGTGCATCCCTCCTCCAGAGGTTGTGCCAGAACAGAGACCTGAGCCCACCTTTGCCATCAGGCTGTTTCACAGACACGGCTACATGAAAGGGTGCAGCAGTGAGGACGAAGTCTGTCTCATGTCCTTTCTCTGAGTCACTGTAGCACTTTGACGCCTATGACGTCATTTTGTTACGGAAACACATTCAAAATAAAAGTATGCATTGTGTGAAACACTGAACGACAACATTATTGAAATTATATTTCTTCACACACATTCAGGAAAACGTTCTTGTGTTTACAACAAATTGTCACGAATATGTCGATAACAAACTAGTACGTTGAGCCTTCATCAGTGACACGGTCATCCTCAGACGGACAGTAGTTCATGTTTTGGTGCAGTTATTAGCGTTGGCTAACCAGTGGGAGAAGCTTAAAATTCCATTGGTCGCCATTCACCGGAGTTTCTTCCATTACATGTCAATCAGGCAGTATGTAGTGACGGTTCACGTGAGATTAGAAGCAAAACTAAAACAGCATTTTCTTTAGGAGGTTTTCTTTCGGACAGCTACGCATCTCCAGCTAGTGCCCCCTAAAAAACGACAGCTAAGCAAACAAGCGCCCCCATGAAGCTAGTCAGGGGCGTCACCGCCTGCCAAACGGAGAAAGTCACCAATCCCCCTGTACAGATGGGATTGGTGATGTGGTGGCACCACGAGCGTAGCCTTCTCTTCTGACTAACTAACGTCATAATTGTAAATCAAAAATAGTTCCAAATAGACGTGCGTAGTGCTGCTCGAATACAGTGAGCCAGTTCGGGTAGCCAAAGAGCTAGCTAGCTAGCTAGCGCTGTCAGTAACAGCATTTCTCAAGCTACATGCGATGTTTCAAACTGTTAAAACTCATCCACAGCCCGACTTTTGGACTTGCAAAGCCGTTGTGCAGCTAACGTGTTAGCCTGGAAAGTGTAACTCTTCAGAAAAATGAATGAAAATGGACTGTCGGAATAGTTGGTGAAGTCCGCTTACCTGGTGCGGCGGAGGCCGCCATCTTGATCACAGCTTCGCGGAAGCGCGCACCTATGACGTCACCATCGGAAGTTTGTTGTGTTGCTGCGGTTTCAACTTTAAATAGCTCGACTGGATTTACAGCCTATCGCTTCTGCCATTTGATTATTCCTGGTCTAAAAGAACAGTTCACATTTATCTATGCTGACCGTTGTCCTATGCACAAATTCATATATATTAAATATTTATGTATATTTCATATTCACAATATACTGCGGATATCAATACACATTATTGATATCTGCAATGGTTTTTCATTCATAATATACAGTTGTGGCTTGTAACAATGGGAGAGCAGACATATAAAAGCGCTATCGTCCCCTGAATCTGAAAGCCAATGCACATGAATGGCAAAAGTAGCATCACTTTTTATATGAATCATTTAAGTATGAAGCGCAATACATTTCAAGTCCAGCTTCAATGCAAAAACTTGTTGAAATACATTTGATTTCGATGTGGTGCTACAGGTTCTTAAAAATGACCTCGGGTGGTACTCAGTGATGGTTACTGAGGTCCAGGTTTGCCATCTGCTGGACATCGCGGATAGTGTCTGATAAAAGGATAGAGGCCTTATGAACACTGATATCTGGAAATATCTCACTGAACACACATGGGGAAAAAACTGAAGGTGTCCTTTTAAGCAGTGCTGGGCCTGAACAGTTATCATATGTATAGCTATGTTATCATTTTGCTTTTTTCATAAATACACAGCATCTATTTTAAATACTTTTCCCAACAGCTTATTATGTCACTGCACATCTCCCTCTGTTACTTCGCTTCCAGTGCAGCTTATTCTAAAGAGCTTCTATCAGATTCAACCCCTGTGTCTCATTTCGTCATGAGGACACAAGTACACAACAACCAGCTCACGTTAACTGCCCGGGTTTAGAGATCGTTACTGCGGGACTATTGCGTGTCTCCCGGCTTTGGTGTGCACCACCAGATTTGCTGAATCTTGATATCTTGCATGTCACGTTTTGGGGATCAGAATCACATTACCAACGATCCATTATGAAAGAACTTGCCTTTATACAGGTTAGGAGTTACATTTGTGTCCGACTTTATCCCAACTTTCTTTGACAACACAAACACGTGGTCAATAATGTCACGAGTAACGTATAAACTTATTTTACACATCAGAGCAATCACAGAGGTTCCTCGTTATCCTACAGAAAATAAATTGTCCAGATAGACAAAGTAGTTCCTGAGTACTTTTTATCTTGGCTATTCAATTTCCTGAGCAGAGGCCCAAAAATGCTAAGATATGCTGTAACAAACGTACAGTTAAATTCACAGTTATTAACTGGCAGCTGGTGAAAAGTAACTAACTGCAAAATGAATCACAGTATACTACTGTGAAAAGAATCACAGTAATTAACTGTCAAATTAATACACAATAAATTACCGTGAGATGGTTTTGCAGTAGCTTACTGCTCACAAACACAGTAAATAACTGAATCTCACAGTGTAAGAAAATGTTTTAACTTCATGTTTATTGTTTAATACTTAAAGAATCCACTTTCCAGGGAGGAGCATCTCATCTCAGACAACCCTGATAACGTGCACACAATATTGTGCAGTAAGGCCTGTCTCAATAGCGTGCATTGGGCCTGTCTCAGTGGGGTCCTAATAGGGTCACTAGGGGTCATCACATCAGTGGGCACTACAGGCGCCGTCATGATATCGCTCCCTAGGCCTCATCTGAGTACGCTGGGGTCAGTAGGGTACAGAAAGGCCCGTCTTAGCGTGCACTACTACTACTACTGAAATTGGCTGCATATCCACGTTTCTAAAATAAAGTCTTGTTAATATTATTGCACCTTCTACAGAACTTTTCCTAAATGCATTAATCTTCATGCATGGAAGAAAAAGTTAAATATGTTTTGGAGGGTGAGTTTTTATTCCCATCAGTTATGTGTCGAAGACCATGAGACTGGAGAGTCTGTCCCCGTTTGGGTACGTGAGAATGAACGTCCGCTTCACTCCGACCCACACCTCCCCCCAGCCTCCCATCCGCCCCCTCGCCCCCGTCCCAGCCGGCCCAGCTCCTCCCTCCTCTTTACAGACAAGTTACTTCTCAGAGTGGATGAACTTGGGGGGGGGATGAATGGCCCAGTGTTTTTCACGGGGACAGGCAGGCCCATTCACACTCAGCTTTTCCACATTTCAAACTCACTTCTTTGTCAGCGTGCTGTGAATACAGGCCTGTGCTGGGAAACGTACGCAACCGAACTGCCGGTCGCACAGACTGAGGGGTCCCTACGGGATCCTGGCTGTGATGGTATCATCAAATTCCAAATAAATTACATACAGTGTTTTGTATTTAGATGTTTATTTCAGTGGTGCTTTTGTTATGCTCTGAATAGTCCCCAACATGTTGTATTAATAGCATGTGTCCGAGTTGTTTGTGTGCTGGCGTAATTCCTTCTCTGGAGCTAATCGGCCAGTCAAACACAGCGTCTACCGCTTCTTGTTACTTTGGTTTTCTGACATTCTGTTTCCACCCTCTCACACGCATGTGACACTTTCCTCTCGTAGCACCTGCGGCTACTGTCATTATTATTTTATTTTGTATTATCATTACTGCTATTCATATGTTTTTGAACTCAGTGCTGCTGTACTCTTTTTATTAGCAGTAGCAGGCATGGTCATACTGCTATCAGTTATGCTATTATCTTGACCATCATTTCATCAAATTCACCAACACTAATACTAATGTTTGTCATTAGTCTAATGTTTATTTGCGTGTTACTGTTGTTGCTGAGCATCCGTGTGTCTCCCTCCCCCTTTCTCTTTCTCAGAAATCCAAAAGAATCCAGAGTTTTGTACAATCCAGAATACATTGTAACTCGTTTTATGACATGAAGCTTAATTTACTTAAATATTACTTAATATTTTCTTTATTAAGATATATGACGGTATGTTTTTCAGTTTATCTATGATATATTTATGCTGAAACATTAGAGAAATTGTTTTATAATATCTGATAACAATGTTTACTGACAAGAATTTATAAAAAATATCATAACATTGATGCTACTGTATTGTAAAAGCAGCAGATAAGACTCCAGTGTTGCTGTCTTGCCTTGGAACTGCATGTGTGTGTGTGTGTGTATATGTGTGTGTGTGTGTGTGTGTGTGTGTGTGTGTGTGTGTGTGTGTGTGTGTGTGTGTGAGTGTGTGTGTGTGTGTGTGTGTGTGTGTGTGTGTGTGTTGCTTATCTCGCCCCATTCCTCAATACGGGAGAATCAGGACATTGGAGATGAAAGGCTTCTTTTCACAAGAGGGGACAAAGATACGGAGACAAGTGTGTGGTTTTATTATCTCTGTGTGGCCTCCATTGATATGCATCAGAAGTCTCCGACCGGGGACATGTCCTCTGTAAATGGAGGAGTGCTGGAGGAGGACTGGGCCCCGGATAACGTCGCGGAGCACAAGGGAATATGTGCAGCTTCAGTTCCGATCACTGCACGTTATTACTGCAGAGGAATGGAGACGGCTTGTCAGCAGGTAGGAGCGTGGTTTACCGCGTGGGGTCAACCAGCTGGGGGGGACGCGCGTCCCCGCTCGGCCAGCAGGAGTCTGTAGCGCGCAGCTTTCAGCCCAGCAGCGAACGCTGCCTTCGCGTGCTGCGGGAAATATTGGAAGCACACGCTGACCACACCACGGTAGACGTCTAAATATGACGTGATGTCAGTAAATGCTACTGGTTACCCGACCAGAAAATAACACATATGTTGTATTTAAGTGATGCGAGGGCGAAGACGCCGATGAGCTGCGAAATAACGTCTCGTTTCTTTCTGAAAGTCGGTACAAAGCAAGAACGCGATTTCCCCTCCAAACCTGTGCACCGTCTCTCCCTGACTTGCTTCACTCGGTGCCTGTTTTTTTGTCACCAAGTAAAGTCCTCGTTGTTGTATTAACGAAAATATCGTTTTCGATCCAAGCCGCCCTCCCTGCAGTTAGCCTGTTTCTTCTCATTGAACAGTTGTTAACTCTCTAGCTCGGAGTCGGAAAATCCGAGGAGCACTTGAAGGCAGCACGTTAAACCTTCTCTTTCGCCAAACCTCCCGGAGAGCTGAACCAAACGTTCCCTCACCCTCCACTCAGGGCTCCGTGTGGGGGAGGAACGTGCCGAGGGACACCAGGCGCAGGACAGACACGCAACACAGCGGTGCTCTCTCCTCTGCTGGACGTGCTGTTTGCTTCCGTCTCCCCGAGGCGCGCGCTGTGTGAACCGGAGAAAGTTTGATGTCCTGCGTGGACGGAGCCGCGGTGGATTTGGGAGACTGAATGAACGCGGTCCGCTCGGCTGAGACGACGCGGAGGACCGAGCGGGACCAGGTGAGTGGAGAGGGGACCGGCAGGCGGAACTTACCGGGTGTTTTTTTTTTTTTCGCCCTGTGGGAATCACAAACACTCGTTTCCCTCTGAAGAGCGAAGCGTGTTTCGCGCGAGCACAAAGTATCAATGAAGCCGCCGCGTCGCCCGGTAACCGCGTGCACGCGCGAACTTATTCTCCTGTCATGTTTAGTTCGTTAGTTCACGTTCTTCAGCGTTACAGTTCGCTGAATTTACTCACTGCACTTGTTCACCGGCGGCCAGCGGCCAACAGCGGGCCTGATGCGCAGTGGGGGGCCGTCATTTAACGGCCTATTTAAAACCAAGCCGGCCCAGCATGGTGTCCACCACAGAGACGTGGTGTCCACCACAGAGACGTGGAGTCCACCACAGAGACGTGGTGTCCATTACAGAGACGTGGTGTCCATTACAGAGACGTGGTGTCCATTACAGAGACGTGGTGGTCTTCGTGGAGACATGAGGTCCATCACGGAGACCTGATGTTCTTCGTGGAGACCTGATGTTCTTCGTGGAGACCTGATGTTTTTCATGGAGACCTGATGTTTTTCATGGAGATCTTATGTCCATCACAGAGACATGATGTTCTTCGTGGAGACATGGTGTCCATTACAGAGACATGATGTCCATCACAGAGACATGATGTTCTTCGTGGAGACATGGTGTCCATCACAGAGACATGATGTTCTTCGTGGAGACATGGTGTCCATCACAGAGACATGATGTTCTTCGTGGAGACATGGTGTCCATCATGGAGACATAGAGTGTTCTTCGTGGAGACATGGTGTCCATCATGGAGACATGATGTTCTTCGTGGAGACATGGTGTCCATCACGGAGACATGATGTTCTTCGTGGAGACATGGTGTCCATCGTGGAGACATGATGTTCTTCGTGGAGACATGGTGTCCATCGTGGAGACATGATGTTCTTCGTGGAGACATGGTGTCCATCACGGAGACATGATGTTCTTCGTGGAGACATGGTGTCCATCGTGGAGACATGATGTTCTTCGTGGAGACATGGTGTCCATGACGGAGACATGATGGGCTCTGTCGGGGAGGGAGCAGTGTTTGGTTAACAGCTCAGCCAACGTTATCTGACTTTTGTCCACAGAAGTCGTCCCGATGGAGCGGCGTCCTTGCAGCAGGACTTGAGTGATAACGGGGGACTTAATGACGTCACAACAGGCGCTTTCTCTGCATGTCTCTTGGTTACACGTGTCGTAGTTGGCGCCCCGGCACGGGACGGCCAGTGAGAGCGACGTGTTTTTTGTGTTTGTGTCTCACGGGGGGACGGTCTCCTCTCGCAGTTTGGTGCCGTCTCAACGCAGCCATCTGCTGCTGTGGCGTAAGCTGGGGAGTGAGACGGCCTCCCGCAGATGATGAAAAGGATGCTCGTTTATTTCAGATTGGTGGCGTTACGGCGCCCATGCTTTCGCGCCGGTCGCGTCTTGGGCCGTCTCACATATTCTTCCCTTCAAGCAGAAGACTTTAAAAGTCAACAACGGCCGTTGTCATTTTTCACCGTTGAGCTCAAAGCGATTCATATCAGTTCACCAAGCGCCATCAGCGTTGAGCCTCGCCGACGTGTTTGGCGCTAAAGTCCTTCTTCAATAAATACCCCCCCCCCCCCTCACTGGTTACTGCCACAGTCAATGTGCTAAAGGTCAAAAGGTGAAGGGGGGGTTGGGTGTGAAATGCTTGTGTTTTCTCTGCGGGCAGCTGGAGGGACTGCAGGAAGCACGCCGTGTCAAACCTTTCACCTCCCCCTTCCCTCCCTCCCTCCCCCAAAACCAAGCAAACACCCTCCATTCAAATGCAGTGATGGAAACATGAGGCGAGAGCGAGGACGACGGGCTGTCCGCGTCATTTGTGCTGTTATTGTGGTGATGGAGCGGCGGCGAGACGTCGAGGACGCGTCGAAGCCTCCGGTGACATGTGATGGTCTCTGGTTGAGTACGTGTGAACGCCGTCGCGGGCGTGACGGAGAGAAGGTGTCGCTCGTGATCCGACCCAGTTGGAAACGTGTGTGTGAAGCTGGACCGACGTGGTTCAGATGGCGAGATAACCGTTGCATCTTTTCATTGTTATTAGTTTCATTAGGACGAGCCAGTGACCAAAATGCAATGGGGGGGGGAATGAGGGCTTGGGGGTTTCAGAAGGCCCCCTCCTGAGTTCTGGGGCGGGCCAGCTGTGGGTGGAGGGAATGCTGATGAAGCAGAGGGGCAGCTTAGCCCCCTTCCTCCATAATAAACATATCTCTGATAGTTAAGACCCGTTGATCCTCTTGAAGAGTCACAGCATCGGTTTCTTTCTCACTGTTCATCAAACAGCGTCTGAACCTGAAGGGTACGCGGCGCCCAGGTGTGCCCAGGTGTGCCCAGGTGCGGCTCGTCTCCCAACCCCCCCCCAATGTCCCCCTCGGCTCAACGGTGGCGTTTGGTGCATTCGTCCAGTGCAACACGAGGGTCGCGGATCCCAACGTTCGCAAGGGCCCTTAACCGTCAGGTGATCCACACGTCGTTATTTATTTTAGCGGATCGCCTGCACAGAGAATGCAGAGATTACGAAGTGAATTCTCTTTTCCTCGAGCGCGATTTAGTTTTTTTGGGAGCTTTTGCACTAAGAAGGAAAACATTGACTAATCACGTTGTGCAGAACGGGTGTAGTTACGCTTTGTATAAAACAACAAGAGGCTCCCAGTCTTAACCAAGAGGCAAACAATACTCCACATAGACAAAGCCCAGGGGCATTAGATGCACTCCCTCCATTCTAACGTTTCACAATAAAAGCCCCAGACATAATATCCACTGTCTCATTTTCGCGTTGTAAATACAGTCAAAGCACAGTTTTGTAAAAACTAGTTCCACTCACAGCAGACCACAGCCGCTTCCCGTGTATCTCAGGGTGTTAATTCACTCTTTATTTCCTGAAAGGTTCATTTTGGAGCAGAAGCAACCAGGGGGACGTCAACGTGAACGTTCTCTGCTCCCCGCTGTTGGCTCTCTCCCGTCGGGGAGCACCATCACCTCAAAGCGGATCAGAGTACCAGCTATTTGGACTGAGAACGCGAGCGCTGCGCTTGCCCGGCTGGGGGGGGTCGAGGGCTCCTCCTCTCCCGTGGTCGGATTAAATACTCAATTTAATTATGTCACTGAGCATTAAGTCGGTAACCTTATCAGAGTGGTCTGGCAGTTTAATGGGACTTTGTGAGCTACCAGATGCACCAAGATTAGGGACAATATGCTGGTGGTGCAGACCCCCGAGCAGATAAAAGACGGGCACAGAATCTGATACCAGGTGCCCCCCCCCCACCCCCCCACACCTCCTGCACTAGACACCACCAGCAGCCTGGAGGACGCTTGGCGAGGCGCAGACTGTAAACACAGCGTCATACGGGGACATTACTCTTCTTGTCAGTGAACTCGTGCGTTTGTTCCGTGACCCCAGCGATCACGCACGCAGACGTGGAGATAAAAGTAAAAAAACAACTCCCCGGGGGGGGGGATGTTTCCTTTTTCTGCATATTGATGTCGTCTCAGGCTTATTTGAACGAAAGGCCCTTGAAGTCCCAGCAGCACAATGAATCCATGATGGTTTCCCGTCTGGGCTACTGGCCGTGCTGGTATGAGGAGGTGCCTGCATATTGATGGCCGCTCCGAGCCCCCCGAGCCGGAGGAAGGGTCCGTTATCTGAATTATCTATATATCAAGACGCAAAGCCTTGGATCTTTTTTCGGGGGGGGGGGTTTCCTCTAGTAGCGAGATAACGCTCGTCAGGATCCTCTGAGGGTTTAATTAGAGCGCGTAGCCGGTTCACTATGCAGATATGTAAATGGGAACTGTGGTGTGGATTGTGAAATAGATTTACATGTCGAAACCCCCTTTGAAGCAGCGGGAGAAGTGAATTATTAACTGTCCTGCACACGCGCGTCATGTTGGGTGCGTCTGCTCTACAATTGTTCCGCCATGAATGAAGCTGCTGTGTTCTTCTATGTTGAATTGGTACCCGTGACGTGAGTGTTTACTGGCAATAACTCCTCTACCTTCTATTAACAGCGACACACGTTGCACCTGAAGTTTATTTTTCTGTCTGCTCCGTTTAACACGAGGTGAACCATCAAAATTGAATTGAACACGTGCTTGAAAAGTGTTTGTGTCACGTTCAACAGACCAGCGTGTCTACGAGCGTAGTTCACCTGCTCTACACACATCTGGAGAGTAGGATTTAGTCAAGATCCTGAGTGCTAATCTCGGCAGAGACGCCGTGGCCGCCATGGAGAGAACCACCCGGCCCAAAGCCCTCAGTACCTTGTTAAAACTCAAGATGAAATGCTGCACAAACCTCGTACCAACTTCTAGTGTGGCATTCGAAATTAGCTACAACTCTGATTCGGTGAAAATGCAGTAACATCCTGCCGTTCCTTTCCTCGTTTCATGGCTGCAAGCGCAACATTTGACACTTTAGCGCTTGCGTTGTCGCCCGCGCCTGCAGTCGCGCCGCCGTATCGTTTGCCAGCGGTCTGCAGGGCTGTAGGAGGCCCGGCTGGTGAGATAGGGTGACCTGCAATGAGAATGGCTCTGTGAAGATGAGACCTCCACCCGGGGTGGATGAGGGTGGGTGGAGCCCCGAGTCCTTGACTGGGAGACGCCGGTGTCTCTTTTCTTAACCTAAGACGTAGTGCGCTGCATTGCCTCAAGGCCGAGCCTAATCCAAATCTGATCCCAATGGACCCTAATTCTAAACCCGGATAATGCAGACACAACATGGGATAAGTCGTCTCTGCACTTGGCTTCACGGTCACAGCTTGAAGTCTTGTTTTAGATAAATACATGAGGCGTGAGCTCGTGATCATTTTAATTGGCGTTTATTACTTTCCCGGGGAATTGATTTGTTGTTTAACAATATGTCCGAAAATGGGCAAAAATGTTTATCTGCCTTCCCAGACGTTTAGTTTCAGTTTTACTGTCACAGAGGAGGAAGT